TAACTCTTTCAAATTAAGTATGAATCTACTTTCACCATTTGGTTTAGGTACAGTAAAAAATTTTGAATAGAATTGCCCCAAATAGGGATTGCAGCATTTAATAGCCCCTTTACATAGTAATTCATATACACATTTATCTATTTCTGCAATTTCGCAATTATTAAAACCGTTATTTGTTGGAATTGTGTGTTGAAAAGGAGTATCCATAAATTGGATTTCATATCCACTAATCCAGTTTAAAATCCTAGAGTCAGATGTTAGCTTTGCCCATTGGTCCTTAAATAAGGATAACCGGCCACAATGTAGATGTAAATGACTCACCTGAATTAATTGCGATTGTTGTTCAGCCGTAGAGGAGCTTTGTATTGATTGTAAGTTTTTGGTACTTGAGACATTTGTTGTACCCGTGTGTGTTTCCTGAAAGCCTGCGGAGTGCGTTGCAGCCCAGTTCGGTAGGTTCGGCTTCGTGGATGATTCGCAAATGGGCCTCTGGAGTTTAAATAAGTTGCTTGTTGTGGTTTCTTATTCTTATTAAGTTTTATTTCATGACCAGATTTTCTTATGGCTCTAGTAGCCTTCAATTTTTCTGAAAAATTTTCACCAAACAACCATTGGTCTATTTCAGAATCTTTAACCGAGTCACGTACGTGTTGGTCAAGACTTTGCAGAATAAAATTTCTACGGATCACTGATTCATGGTGTTGTAGATCACATAGCAACTGTGCAGCATCACTTATATAATTAACCACAGTAACATTGTCTTTGTTTTTTAATAACAAGTCCAACCCCATGGCTAAAGCTGTTAAAGCACATCCTGTTTGTTGTTGTTTGGTAAAGATACTTTTGTCTCTTTTCAGGGTCTGCTCGGATACTGCGACTTGGGCTTCTAAATTCAGTTTCGGAGCATCTATATTCTTGCAATTTTCTGGAGGAATGTATTTTTTCTCAATTTCTTTACATCTTTCTCTTGACAGTCCACTTTTTATTAGATTGGTCCATCTAGAAGCTAATTCCTTGTGAATCTTGGGCCCATATTTGGCATTATTTTCTGTATTGCCAAGTATTGAAAGAAATTCCTCGTCTAATTCTTCATTGTCATCTGTAATATAGTATATTTAAGAAAAGGTAAATAGACAAATTGTTATAGTAACTCTTTGTTGCAACTATAATGTATTTAAATAAATACTTAAATAACAATTCACTAAATAATTATTTATCCAACCATTTTTTGATTTAAATAAAGTATAATATGAAATGTTGCATCTCCATTCTTTATTGATATTTAGGCATTTAGATAAGTGTGAATTTTTGTTACTTATACTGTTGTGTAGTTATAACGATGGTTATATCGTAATAGATATATGATAATTAATTTGCAAAATCGCAATTTAGGTAGTATAATAAGTAATACCTTCGATATCGATTAATATGACGTCATCACTTTTTGTGCTTTCTCCTTGTGTAGCGGAATCTTGGAGTATGTTGATATCTGTAAATACAGATAAAACAAAAGGTGGTTATATAGGGATGAATAACCCTTTTCACTGTAGGACTAAACAGTCCAGCATTTAAAAACTATTTCACCTAAATAGGTTATAGTTAAATGCGTATAAATTAATGCACAAGTGATTTGACATTTTTCACACTTTGCTTACCATTGTTTTCAGTGATATTTTCATCACAGCTATCTTCAAAAGGTAACTGATTTTCATGATCAGAAGATGGCGGAGAGGCCGACGCCGACGCCGACATCGTGTTTGGCGTTCTCGTTTGATGATGTGCCATTTCTTCATATTTTTGAAGTTTCCTTTTATATTTTGCTATATATTTTTCGATTCTTTGACGTTTTGGCATTTTTTGGTACTTTTATAATGTTAAACAAGGCTTTTAATTAAAACAAAATTTTTTCACTGAGACGTTGACTGCACGAAAAACGCTAATGACGGAACCTCAAAGATGGCGCTTGGAACAGGAAGGAAACACTTAATTTTTTTTTTTATAGCATTGAATTTGAGCTGATTTAGGCTCTGAATTTCGTGACTAACGACTGCCGAAGCACGTGTACTACTTTGTATGCTATTATCATGAAGAGACTATGCAGTGAAGTACAATTGTTAGTGTATGTCAAATGCTTTGTAAAAGGTGTGTAATGTTTTATTTATCGATTTAATGTACTTTATAAGCATTATTATTGAAAAATATTAGCCACTTCTCCTACATATAAACTATAAGTGTTCTAAATTTCATACTCCTCCGTCATTGCAATTTTCGTAAAAAGGGGTCCGAAGTTTTTGCTTCACTTGTTAATATGTAGATTAATTATTCGCTCAATTATTAGTTGGTTTTGAGAACTTATACTTTCACACTATTCATTAATTATCAGTATTTTTTTATTCTATACTCAAAAATATAACTTACAAAAAATAAAAAACAATAGACCTCCAAATAGTTATTAGTCACCAGCCGGTATTACGTTGATAAGCAAGTGATCGAAATCAACCAGTAAATTGTAATGTATAACTAAATACTATGGAGGGTCACGACCGAGACTCCAGAAGCTCCAAGGCCAGCGATTCTCCGGGGGACACCATGAATGATGTCTACGCAGCGTGGCGTAAGTTGTTGTTACATATCTACTGTAATATATAAACTATACTTGCTATACGGGAAATTCTCACCCTCTATTAACAATAGATTATTTTTTTATCTCGCTAAGCGGTTCCCTTGGAACCTGTTAAAAATATCTTAGGCAAGAATAAAATATCTATTTCGGACACCTGACAAAAGAGACTAAAACTTTAATCCGCTTTAACAAATAAGGGTTTCTTTAAAACTTAATTATACATTTATACTCGTAAGGTTGATGATTGGCAATTTATCTTTCTAGCAAAATCCTAAATGAACCATCATTTGTAACAAGCTGCTTTTGTAACAAGTTTGTTACGGATTGATTGGTTTAAAAATCATAAAATTACTAGGTGTTATCTATAGAAAAGCAGCCCTACATTGTAAGGTACACGTGATTCTGACGTAAGCATTAATGTACATTGTATTACACATGCGAACAAACAAAAAAAAACTCGCACATGCATCTAAAATAATGTAAAGTGATTATACCATAAATCACCTACGTGTTACCAGCTCTTCACTAACGGCTGCTCAACCCGTCTAAAATCCTATTTCTAAGCGATTAGAGTTCAGAATGAGAAGCCGATGTTTTCTTTTGCGCACGCGCATACCGGATCGTTATTGTTCTCGGTACAGCTACAATGCGATGTCAACATGCCTTGTATGGTGCTGAATTCGCAAACGCAGCCCAATTCTGTTGTCGTCCACCACGCGACCTGAATGTCAGACAATGTTTTATTTGACAATACGTTACGACACAAACGTCTGCCTGTTTTTTGGTGGTAATTAGACAGAATTTACCACTTTAGTGTGATTATTACCATAAACGGTTGTCATTTCTTTAATGGGCTACTTCTCGTGACTTATGTGGCGTTAGGATTGTCACAGTTGCGAACTTGCAACATGGGGATATGGTCTTTGGCTCTTAATTTTACCTATTTTTATACATAACGCATTACGACGTAACGAAATATTTCACGACATTATCAAAGATCATTCAAGTTTTTATCAAAGCTGATTTGCTGCCGTGTGCCACCTCTACTATTGTGTCTAGTGTATTTTTTCATTAATTGATAAGACCACCAAATGAATTAATTAACTGATCTTATGATTATGATCATCTAATTTTTAAATAATTCATATAGGTACACGTTTTGATTCCTGCTCAAATAAATACAGCGTTACGAATAGACCCACATCCATTTGCACACATAACGCCGTTCCGTGCCAATACGCCAATATTTTGGCGTACTTCTTCATACCCATGACTTTTGACCAAATTCTAATTAAATCTTAACCAATCGGAGAATGACATATCCCATTTCAAGGACCGGCTAATTACCAACTTTTTTTTAATAAATACAACAAAAACAAATACCGATATTTCATGATGAATGCAAAATTCATCAAATCTATACACAATATAAAAATTCGCTCCTCTTTGTCTGTACGCTGAGATCTTTTAAACTACACAATGGATTATAATGCGGTTTTCATCAATATACTTAGTGATTCATGAGGAAGGTTATATGTATAATACAGAACCACCAAGCCTCTGGTGGAAAGCTGCTATAATATTTAGACAGTAGGTTTTTGATATAATTATGTTTTATTAACTGTAGTGATGCACCTACGAAGTTTCAATTCAGTCATTGTAAGGTCTTAATAGGTCTAGGTTTATGGGATCGTTTTACATTATAAAAATAAATATTAAGTTTCTCGTTTACGTAACACCTTATATTTTATTACATCGTAAACGTTGTAAGTCCGTATATAGAATAACAGCGTCAACGTGGGCTAGTGAGGTATGGCAATGTGGTCATGGTGCCTCTTGACATAGTAATCTTGACCCCGATGCCTTTCAAAACCTGTTTCGTTTTGCCGGTTTTATCAAATAAAATTCTTTTAAAGATTCAAATTAGATTTGCTTGATAGTGACGAGAGTTATTCGTAATATCACCAAGTTGTATATATTGTACATTACTTTGCATTGCTGTCTTGGATAATGATGCAAATGCATTGAGTTTAAAATCATGGCATGAAAAGTTTAGGCTCTTGTTTGTCAACACCTCTCATTCCATGGAAGTCCGAAAGGTTGACTTGGATAATGATTTTATATTCGTAATACGTCGACAATACTTGCCACTATTTGAAGCAAACTTTGTTTATACGAGTATATTTAAAGCTTTTAACCAAAAACATGAAATGTGGTCTGTTATCTGCATTCGTCTAATAATAAATAAGTTGTAGAAAAAATTATTATCACATACCGCCTGGCGAGGGACGAGGCCAGGAGAGCTGCCTATGCCTAGCCAAAAACTAGCTCCAAAATCATTTTGATGGAAGTAAAATGTTCCATTTGTTTTTTCCAGACGAAATGTTAGAAGGTGAGGGGGCAGGGCTAGCGGCGCGCGTGGCCGACCTTGAAGTGAGGTGTGCGCGCCAGGCCGAGGAGCTGCTGTGTCTGCGGTCCACGCTGGCTGACGCGCTGCGACGACTGAACGCGCTCGAGGGACGGCCAGCTGCCACCACTGGACCGAGGAATGGAACTTACACAGGTTAATAATGCTTATCATCATACTCGGCTATTTTGTATCCAATCTTTGAATATAAACCTCCATGCCCCTCCATACCAGGCGGTTTTGTACCTTCAGCATGTCTGTTGTCTTTTACAATACAATAATTACAACAGAAGATTTGGACATTTGGGGTAAACCAGTTCGAAAAACCGGAACATAAATTAATCAGTACTGTGGATCATTTATTATTGTCGCAGACGGTGAATTTATATCTGTCTTAAATTTCCTGATTAAAAATATTGTCAGTATTCGTACCAGATATAAATGTTTTTTTTTTAATATTACCTACTCATTTTAATGTAAAAAGTAGCACAACGTGAAAGTATTTAGTGAAATTTCACAAATTAATAATTCTCAAATTAATTTTATATTATCTTGAAATGCAGACATTCATTTACTTTTCTACCCATTTATTAAGTGATGAATAAAGATGAGATTCCAAGAGTTTACATTTGATGTAACTAACACGTACGAGTGCCTGACAATGCCTTCCTTTCACATGCAATATTTTTTATAATAAAACCACAAATCTATTTCTAAACTTTTGAGAAGAAAGTTGGTGACCCATCTTATGACCGGTCATTGTTAAAGTTGCTTAACCGTCACATTGCAGACCGAATGCAAATGAATTCCATATGAAGGTAGACCCCGTGTTGCCAATTTTTACACATTATACATTACTCTTGTAAGATAAGAAATAGCTTTAATAAAATTGATATTATAGGTAAATGTTATTTCGTCACAAGTGTCAATGGTCATACTTAATTCCAGGGTCAGGAGGCACTCCAACTAGAGAGCTGCGCCTAAGACAGCCCACGTACAGGGAGACGGCAAAACGGACTTCCAGCTACGGCTCCACAGCATCATCATTACCACAGAGGTGAGTTTTTATCATCAGCTTATTACTGTGCCAACTGGTGTGGCAATCGATTTACTTCGGTATGATTGACAACGGCTTAAATCTGATGCACTAACCGGTCAGTAGTAAAATTAGAGCTTCTGTGATAGATAGAGTGCATTTGAGATCAACCACACCAATCAAGTTTCCACTAAAGGTAGAATTCAATATTTTAATAGATATATTGATACTAACTGCTATAAGTAGAAAAGATTTAACTATGAAAGAATGTGGATGATAATTACCGAATACCGAAGAACACCGACACCATCTGTTGACAGTTCGCTAAAATATGCGTAACGTAAAAGCTTAAGTTCCACGTGAGGCCAGTACCTAAGTCAGTATTTGCCTCAAGCCAGTCCAATGAAATAGAAGGGCTTCTAATTTAACTGGATTTGTTCAGTTATTGGCTTTGTTTATAAAGTCCTCTAGAACTTGTATAAATATTTAAATGTTAATCTACGATGTTTTGTGTTCGCAGACGCGGTCCTCAGCACCAGTCGACGGGCTCACTGCAGTCGGACTCCCCCGCGTCCTCCTCCTCCCTCTCCCCCGCGCCCTCTCCCTCCCCGCGCGCCACCCCCGCCCCGCACCCACACCCACACCCGGCACACCCTCCATCGCAACCATACAGGTATGTTCCAGTGAAGATATCGAAATATCGACTATCGATATCGTAGCAATAAAGGGTATAAATAGTGTCGTATCAAGCAGCATTATTACTTTCCTTTTTATCATGAGAAGAAGCATTCTTCATTGCCGCTTGGCGAACAATGAGGTGACATGAGAGTGCTTTGTACCGTGAGGTCCTTTCACGATTAGATCCGCCTGATGGTCCCTGTAAATTCTACCTACTCAAACACTATAATATACCATCTCTCATCTGCAAGCGTAGCATACTAAAACTAGAGTCAAGTTTAGATCAACAGACTCTGCGATATGCGGGGTGAGTAGGGATATATACAGTAAGATACAACTAATGCGGTCCACTTATGCATCTGCTCTGAAGGATTTCGAAGCGCGGCAAATGTCGGCCAATCAGAAAGATTCATGTAAAACGCCATCGGGCGATCCACCAATCTCCACCCGCCAGACCCCGCTGAGTGCGAGAGAAATAGGCACATGATGCTTTGTATTTTACACTTATGGTTATATATCTAATGGTATTATAGTAGTATCTTCATCTACACCTGACCCTATAAGGACTTAAAATTCAAAAGTACAAAAGTGATGAGATCAAGAGCCGGGACAGAACCGAGTCCATACGATGTTCAGAATTTTTTCGACGAAATCAGAACTGATTGGTGGCATCTTTAGATGATCACGATTAAGCTTGTAAAGAATTTAATAACATGTCGATGTTTTTGAACTTATCAGATATCATTCGTGCCAGAAATATTTCTTAATTTTTAGAAAGTTAATGTAAATCTATGCTATGATAGCTAAAGAAAAATATGAAGTGATGCTTTTCGTCAAGCTTATGTTATATTGCAAAACTATCAAATTAAATTATAACTATCTGTGTGTACAATAAAAATATATTGCCGATTGTCATAAAATTTAAATTGGATATGTTTTCTCTTTAACGCAATTTAAAAAGCGAACCGCCACTTTATCCTTTCGTCACGAAACTAACCAACGGCCTGTTTCTAAATTAAGAAAAGAACGTAATCTCAACCGATTATTCTTGATAACATAAGTTTTTTTTACTTTTCACAAGGCAAAAAGTCCTAGTTTTTATGAAACTGCTATCAACTGACCAGAAAAAAAAGAAAATTTAAAACTAAAACCTGTTTAAGTACGGTTGGAGACGTACTGAACTTTAAACGCTCAATTCGGAAACTGGGTGTAAGTAAATTAACAATTAATCCAAATTAAAGAAAAAAATTATTTTTCAGTAAATATCAATCTCACAATATTTTTTATAGTTAATGTTGCATCGATAATACTATCACAGAAATTTAATACTACGCTGTATTTGAAAAAAACATTTATAAATTAAACCATGCTTTTACAAATTTGTAGCAAGATTCCTGGCAAGCTTATTATTTACTTATATTCAATGATTATATTATATAGGCATTTATATCAGATAAATATGATGGATAAAATATTTCATATTTGTAACAACCAGAAACTAACACTTTCTGGTTCAAAATTAGCTTGATCTAGAACCTTTAAACACTTTCTATTCTATGCTTAAACAAAGAAAATTGAAATCCATACACTTGTAAAATTATTTAGCCCCATATCAAATACATCACATGTTTTAATTTATATGCTCTCTATAGTCAAATATTCTTGCTCTGTGTTGTGTTGCTTTATTTTAATTGTATTTATTAGTCGCTACATGTGTAACTTTAGACTATAGGGTATTATTTGGAAATCGAAACAACATTGTGCCAGTCACAAGGGATGCCATCGATCGTAATAGCTTTAGCGTTATTATAAAATATCGATGGCGTTTCAATAAAATCTCTTGTTGCCATAGGTTCTGTCATTAATATTTAGTGCCAAGTAGGTAAAATAGTGACTAAATGCCCAAACCATGATCATGAAGACCGATGACTATGATCAGAGTCGTAGTTATCGTCGTATCAGCCGTTTTAATGATACAGGGGCCCCTAACGTGTGCAAGCAAAAATTATTACGCTTCATTCCCAGTCCAAGGCATTCTACGCCTAGTTTTGAGGACGGAAATTCAATACCTACTTTTCGGGTAAAAAGAAGGTACTACTGCATTGGTGGCGATGATCTACCAATTATAGCTGCCCCTTTGGGCTCATAATGATATTACAGTGAGCAAGATTAGATCCGTATTTTCGAGCTCGTTATCCTAGTTTTTACGTTTCGCATATACCCTAGCTACTACCTTCAAATATCTCTGCTCTTCTTGTACTACATGTGTTGCTTCTAGTCGCTACAAGCTATAGATACATTTTGTTTAGATCTCGCAACAACTCAACGTCGAGTAATCAAAGCGTGTCCCCTGGCCACCTCACTAAACGATGGAACTCCACAGGGGACTTCAATGCACAAGGCCTCATATCCACTACGAGGTTGGTGAGCTTGGCTGTAGTTTATATAAAAAGGTCGGGGAAAAAGTTTTTACATTTGTATCTGGCTGGTGTCAGCTTGTGTTAATGACAATTAAAAAGCAAAAATAAGTAAAATGTTATTTCTAGGCTGTTTTGCTTTCTCTCAATTCGTTAATCTTACGAAATTTATAGATCCTAACCAATATTAAACAGCGGCATAAAGTTGGTTAATTCAGTTTCAATTTGATCAATCAGGTTTGGTCTACGGTTGAACAGACCGAAGTTTGAATAAATGTAATAAAACCAAACATTTTTTCTGGAAAAATCCGTGAACAACTCATAATAAAGTGTGTGTGTTGTATTAATTTAGAGCTTGACTCCCGGCCGGACACAACTATCGTTTAACATATTTTTTAGTTCAATATCTATTGGCAACAACCACAGAAATAAATCTAGTTAGAAGGAACATGTTCGTCGATTTATATGGAGACCGAGCGCGCCACATTTTGTGTAGGTATCATGACGTCACGATCTTAATTTAGTGATGGAAGACATAATTTCACTTGCATCGAATACACGTTGTATTTGAAACGGCATACCGATTCTTATCGATTGAAATAACGATATCGATCGACGGAGACCAACGTGTACAGTCTGTCTATAAAGTCATGAAAAGAATGTTTGAGGAACTAACATTAGACACAAGTATGACAACACTGAATCAAAGTACATCGACTGTCAACAACTTGATTTTTTAGCTCGATTTTCTGCATTTTTGATTTGTTTTGATTAAACTGAAGCTACTTCTTCTAAACTCCGTCGAAAAGTGTTAAAAATGAAGAGAATTTATCAGAGTGAAGCTTAGGATATTATTTATAAAGGTTTTCAGTGATTTTTATTGGAACAAGAAGCTGGACACATTTTATCATATTTGTAGGATGTTAAAGCTCGAACGGCAGTTATGGTTGGTATGTAATCGTGTTACTGATTGAGTTTTGGTTACCAGAAGTTTCAAATTTACTAAATATATGAATTTAAGTCTAAAAGAAGTATTGATTACATTATGCATTTATAGGTTAGATTGAAAATGTTAGAAGGCTATATTGTAGTGCGGCCCGAACTTTCAATACTTTTGGATAATCAAATTTATCATTGATTTTAATCTGAATAAAAAATATACCTGTTAGGAATGTACGATTTTTACCTACGTACGCCAATAAAAAGTTTGTGCTTTATATTACTAAAATTATAGCATTAATTTGATCATTGTGGCGATTCCATTCTTTTTGCCAAATACATATAGGTATTACATTTTTAAAACTTACTTTCAGGAAAATCAGAGAATATAGTGATACGTATTGTAGATGAAGGTTACAAAAATGGTGGCATATTAGAAACCCCTGGGAAACATAGATAGTCGTCCTAAGAAATAAATTGTTAACTGCAACATTTGTGCACTTCGACAAAAGATTCAGTTCTTTTACTCTGTGAAAAAAAGAGGTACCTACATGAAGAAAACATCAGTGGATTGCCAAAACTGATCTGGATTTTAATTGTAGCCTAGAAGTTCTGCGTTAAATTCTGAAATATATTGGGTTTTCTTACAAGGAGTGTCAAAGTAACAGGCTTTAATCGAACACAAGCACACATTGCAGTAAAACGAGAAAACAACTTGGCAATTATAAAAAAAAAAGATTTATCAAAAATTACGATTACTATATTGTAATCTTCAATGTAGAATAAACTCATTGTCTACGAATTATACGCCTTTCTTTACCTTTTCTGGGGTAATAAAAGTAAAAAAAAAAATCCTACTATCAAAATCATTTGTCTCACTACACAGGGTTGCTACGTGCACGATCGCAGCGCCCTCAATTTTTTTCATGACTTTATAGACAGAGTACCATTTTGCTTAAATATTATGTATATGTCACGAACTCACGAATGTAATTTAGTGAATCGGCGCAAAAAAGATTTTATGCGATAGAAAACACTTTGTAGTAGCCGCTACCCCCTCCCGACACGCTACACATTTTTACGTCCTGTGTTGTTATGTTATGTTTCACGGCGGGCTTTTCTGCAACTCGATACTCAGTGCCTATTTTGCATGACACGGGGTTGCTTTAGTCCTGCCACCCCAGCTCCTCCAAGAAGCCCGTAAGATCTCGAACTCTGCCGCATGCTTCCACTAGTATCCTTGGGCTTCATAGATATGTAGTCCTTTTGTCTTAATAGGCTCCTGCATTCCAGTATCACATGAGTGCACAAGCGCTTATGTGATACTGGAATGGAGACTGAGGAGACAATCTCCTCAGTCTCCATGCACGCCCTGCTCAGAGGACTGTCAGAATAACCCATGTTATATAGGTGTTTGTTAAAGTTTCCATGTCCAGTAAGTATACCTACTATTTGACTTAGAGTCTTGTTGCTTCAATCCATTTATTTTTAATATTAGGATCATACGGAAAACTAAAAAGTATATATAAAACTTTTATATATAAACCTCGACCTGAATGCAGATCTACTAAATAAACTCGACCGACTTCTAAATAACTGCATTCGATTCGTTTTTAATCTTAGAAAATATGATCATGTGTCCGCATACCGATCTCACTTAAAATGGATGACCATCCGACAGCGTAGAAGTATGCGAGCTCTTACTACTCTGTTTTCCTTACTGAACTCTTCGAATGCTCCGTCTTATCTCACGTCGCAATTTCGGTACATATGTACCACTCATACCAAAAACCTTCGCTCCTCCTCAAATCTGCGGCTCATGTGTCCATCGCATCACTCCGATACCATCCATTCTTCGTTTTTTGTGAAATCGATTCTGTTGTGGAATGAACTTCCGTTGGATATCAGAATGTCCACCAGCAAAGTTACATTTAAAAACAAGCTGCGTAGCTTTCTATTGGAACAGGCTAATTCGTTACACCGTTAGTCGTCTACATTATATAGATATATATATATATATTATATTAGTATATGTAGTTATGAAAGTATATATGTATTGTTTATGTAAGTTTATGTATTTTGTTATAGGTCTTATTTCCTCTGTTTATATCTCCTGTACAATGTGCACACTACCACCTTTTATCTCCACATCACCCATCTGGTTGACTGGTAGAAAATGCCTAAGGCATTAAGTCCGCCAATGTATTATGTACATGAAGTGTTAAATAAATAAAATAAATAAATAAAACAAAAATTACAGTATAATTCAATATAAAATTAATTATCCTTTCTTCTGCTTTCAAAAACGATATATTTTTAATCGGGTAAAAAAATCGCATTGTACAGCACTATTCTCCATTTTTGACAGAAAAAAATGATAATTTGTCCTCCAACAAATTGACCTTGAATTATACATCGATGGTTTTACAAGCACAGCAAATTTGGACTGTCAAATTAAAGCCGCAATGGAAAGCTATTACTGGACACATGACCGTTTTGATAAAAATAATACGGAGCAACAAAACTAATGATTTTTAATTCAAAATAGATATATCAAGGCAAATAGTTACTTACCGACGGAAGGAAATACCTCGACTATAAGATCCAACCATATTGGTGGTGTGTAATTATCGAACAACGCATCATTTTAAATTTCGTCCAACACCGATTGCGATCGAAAGTGGACTGAGCCTCGCGGCGAGCAATGAAGCTGTCTAGACGTCGTTTCGGCACGCGAAGTACGTACACTTTTTCCTTCTAACTACAAAAAGTAAAAGGTTATTTCATTACCATAGCGACAACACACATCCACTCACCAAAAATTAAAAATATTCAGAGACGATGTTCAATACATCCGCTATATATCCATCTTCATACACCTTCAGATTTTCATCTGTTTCGGAAATCGGAAGGTAGATTCATACATTCTTTTTATTAGAAGACATGGTTGATTAGAAGGCCCAAAATTTCAGTAACGGTGCTATATAAGATACCACAGAAAAATGAAACAAATGCATTTAGTTATTTAGATATCATATAAAATGCGAATAAACTTTTTCCCCAACCTTGTATTATAGCAATTGCCATTAAATTATTTTAGCAATTGCCAGTAAATAATGCTACATTACGCTATCGCAGCTGTGTATATCGTTCTTATGTGTGTTATATTTTATTTTATCATTTCCTATTGTTTTAGTTTAGTTTCTAATGTTACTTTTTTATCTCTCCTTTAGATTTACTACTACAAAGTCGTTGCTAAATTTGTATTCTAAGTCGTCACAAAACGGGTCTATATTGAAGCACGGGTAAGTCGACTGTGGATTACGAGGTGTCGGGTTACAGCTTTGGAGTTTTGGTTCGACAACTTTGTTTGTTTCATCTTCACTTCTCAGGGCAGCTTATCTACTACTTGACGCAATTTAATAACAAGCTTTTCGCTTCTGTTGTCGTAGTTTTCCTTATATTATACTGTGGTTTTGGGTCACGCTTAATTTTATTTAATATACTTAGTGATCACGTTTTTATCGGTAGCGGTAGGTATAACACCATCCATCCATCAAGGTGTGCTTATCGAGTAATTGGAAAGAGAATTTACATTCCGCCACCAATATCTGAATGATTTACGATCAGTTGCACAAAAGTCCATTAGCATTTAGAATATCAAATTTGTATCGGTAATGTCGCTTTAAACTAATGACATTATAATGGACGTTTGTGCAACTAGCTATAATGTCACTATACTTATTTTAATTTATTAATAGGTTGCCAGTTTGTCTTTTCTTAAAATATAACGCAAAATCATACATAAATGTTACATACCATGGGTGCACACTGTTTTTTCTTATTATGTCCATAATATAATTCACTATTGGAAAAGGATAGCAAATATCTTAAAAAAGATGAGTATTCTAAGTGCCCACTAATGACGTCATGAGATAGCATACCGGCGGGCGTCACACCTTTGTCGTTCCTTTTACAAAATTCTTTCGCTTTTCTTATCGTTGCAATTATAGATTCTAAAAAATACTTCAAAATTTTAATCCAATACGAATTCGCTGATATCTATTTATCAATGGATTAAAATTAATCAATTCCATACAACAGACGCGCCAAAAAGCGTAGCACTTTTCCGAAATCAGGACGTAGCTTTGCAAATTATATTTATACTATATAATATAAATAGGTTTATTACATTTGTCTCTCTCATATCTACGATTAAACCTTAAATTAAACAAAGACAGAATATGTGCGAACGACAGAATGAACGGAAAAATGGGTAATTGATATTGTATTGCCAGCTCTCGAAAATTCACCCATTATGATGAATGAATGAATGAACAAGTAATGTAGATATATGTATAAAATCAATTAGAAAAATACTGTAACTTTGAAAATTTATTTGAAAAAAAAAAAAACAATCACGAAAGAAGCTCTGTGCATATAAATCCCTTTGTTAAAGTCAATGTTTAAGAGAAAAACATTTGTTAAAGTTAACAAAAGATCAAACAAAGGTTCAATTTTACGTATTTTCAAAAGTTGAATCTCGACAACTAACGAATTCCACGCCTTGAAAAAATTAAATTAACTTTAAAAAATTAAACCACTTTAGCATCTGTGTGCGTGTATGAAAAAAATATCAACACAATTTGCACACTTGCCTATACTAAATCTGAGCCATATAATTAATTAAAAGAAGATATTTAGATAAATTATAGCCACGTAAAATAAAAAGAAAAGGCTCCCATATTGTGGGGAAAATTGAAAGTGAATAGCAATGGCAACACTGACGATAAAATGTCAAAATTTTATTTGTGAAAATTAAATATTTTTATTTTATAAACTAGCTTTAATTTTGTTTTTATTGCCAAAAATGTTAATGACTTAAGTGTGAAACTTAATATTCTTTCGTATTATGTGTATTTGTGAAAGAGAATCGTAATTTATCCACTGTTTTTCTTCGTTTTTGCGGAGCATTTTTTTGTACTTTCTCGGCGGGAGTTGAATGAGTATTGAAATGAAAAACGAAAAAACTAAGACAAACGTCTTAGTTTTAGTAGCTTCACTTTTTGGGTATGTATTGCGTATCTAGAGATATTAATATCATTGAAATAAATCGCCAAATAGTAATTTTTATCTATTGTTAATCGACCATAAAGTTCAATGTAAAGCAAAGAAATCAGTCCATACAGCTTAATCTTCTACATTATTAGTCTTCCTTCTGTTAGCACTAAAACATTGATGTTTTAATGCTTCTTTGAGGTTTTTGAGTGAACCGAAAAATGTAGGAATGCAGAAAAGTAGACAGGAAAGACCCTTTCGCGTTCGCTCACTTTACTGCGATCAAGATAAGGGAAATGCCAAATTTCATACTCCTGCGAACGTATACTATTCGTAATAAAGGACTTTTGCTTCACTTATTATATTATAATTATAAAACAAATATGTGGGTAAATAAATATATAGATTTAAAAAAGATGTATACTTATGAGCCGTATATACAATGTATCCTTCATCCATTATTCATACGCATTTGTTGATGGTTGATTAGATAATGCAGGTAATAGCCCTGCCTTGAAGTTCTCAAGGCCCAAACGATTATCATAATAGGTCCAGTTTGTGGGGCTCCATACCGAAAGGGTAAAAACGAGACCCTATTACTAAGATTCCGCTGTCCGTCTGTCACCAGGCTCATGACATGAACCGTGGTAGCTAAACAGAATTTTTCTTTTTATATTTTTGCCGTAAATAACAAATAAAAACATAGATCGTACATAATATACGTGATTTATTTCTTTTTTTTTTTAAGATAATGGTACGGGACCTGACCGGCTTTATTAACTTCATAAGTATTTAAGAAAAGAAAAGAAAACCGGAAGGGTTGTCATGGAGAAATCAAGAAAGTACCGTAGCGACATGTAGTTTGATTTCGGGAACTAATGTTTTTTTTAATACTACCTCATTGTAAAAATCTAGCCACAAAACAAGTTCAATTTGTTGAACTGACATTTGCATGCTAGTGAAATAATATAGCTAAATAGGTCTAAGTACGTTATTGAAGGCAACTATCCACTTCATTGTAAGCTACCCTATTTAAAGCAAATAAAGAAATATTATTATTATTATACGAAAATTAAAAGCCACTGTTGAAATATCACGAAACAAGATAAATAAAATCTGAAATACTTTCAATCTTTTAAATCTCTTTACTTCATAGTCAGGTAAATATTTAGGTACTTCAGTTTTCTTTATATATTAGGTACAATCAACAGCAATTCTAATTAAATAAAGTCAAAATGAAATATGGGTCTAACTTGATTTTAAACCTTAATGCGTTGAAAGTACTGTTAAAAGTTAATTGTATTCATCTCACTTATTTTCTAGTATAAATTGTTGATTAGGAGAACGAAAAAATTTCATGCAAGATAGACTATTATAGATAATTGTCTTTGGTAGGTGCAGTCACCACTAAGATGTACACAGTTCTATCCTTTCTATCATACAACTCTATTCAATATAAAATTCTACGTATAAAATCCTTTCTTTCTATCGAACAGATTTCAGTATTTTAGAATCTAGGTAACCCTCACGTGTTACCATTTTGCTTGATCACAAATGTTTACGTCAGTGCGTCATTCAAAAAATTTGTCTATTAAAATAAATATTCTTGTTTAATTTCTATGCGTTTTTTTGAAATATAGATAAACTTAAGAACACAACTGTATGTTATTTATATAATTTTGTTATGTTGTTTTTGGTTTGGTATAAATCTCCAAAGATATGCATGATGTTTTTTAACGTAGATGCAATTTAGAGGTTATAACCGTTTTTTTTTTTGTACCTATGGACAAAATAATATTGTACCAGTGGACTGTCCATAGACCCTGAATTTTATATTATGTATTAATAATTTATTTATTTATTTTCTTTTCAAATGTTTCATAGTGAAACTGTATCGATTCGTAAAATTATTGAGAAATACAAAATACCAAAGTCTAATATTTTCAAATATTATCGAATAAACGAAAACAATTATATTAGTATCACAGACCTTAGAGCTTTTAGGAAAGATGTGAAGAAGCTATTTGAAGCGAATAAAGAGATTCAGTTCTATGAATGCTGAGAAGAAGCTCCGCCTATGCATTTCTCCACCATTAGATTTAATTTCTAATTTTATTATCTCATAGTCTAGTAAAACAAATAATCCTACTAGTCTCATACCAATTTAAAGAGTCTGTACATTTTATGTTACCGGGTATATACATTTATACTCCAAACAATGCTTTAATAATCCTCCGGACAGTCAACAAAAAAATCAAAACACATAAGAAAAGAAGATATAATTAAATACCTAAAAAAAAAACAAAAATGTTGCAAAAAGCTACCTAATCATAACAAACGATAAGTTCGATTTTAATTTAATTTTCGTTAAAATTATCATAATTTCGAATGGTTATTTTGTTGGTAAAAGGAAAGAACAAAAAAACTCTTGTCCAATTTGCCTCAGTTGAGCTAAATGCAAGCAAACGTCACCGTCAGTCAGTTAACATGTAATAAGATGACTCAAACGCCACCAATATAGAACTCTTTCGCACTAGTACCAGGTATCTTTACAAAATAGTGGATGTAACAAATCCATTGCTTGTTATGAAGATTTTTTATTGAATCGTTGAGAAAGGAAACCTTCCATGTATTAAACGATAAAACATTAAACCGCGTTCCATCACAATACGCTCCGTTCTCCTTCACACGCAGTCTGCCGATGTTTACCTAGGTCGCCGGCCGCGTGATTCGCTTGCTGATTTCAAAACTCGTTTTAAAACTTTGCGACCTCGCGCTCTCTTTACCGCTTTTGGTAATTAAACAATTTTTGTTCCTGGCTGTACTCATATTGCCGCCAAAATGGATGACAGGTATCGTTTCTATTATAGAGATTTTTTATTATGACTTATCATGTTTCAATCAGTTAACGAACGATTAGAGTGAATACTTCATGTAACAGGATAATATTTGTTTTTAGATTATTTTGAACACATTAGTTGGTCATTTGGATGCTAACTGCTGAGCGGGTGGTGTTATTTTTTTTTTATCTTGTGGGCAGAAGAGCCGTATTTTGCGAGCCAAAATGTCATTCACCTCAATGTAAGTGGCTTGATGTTTAATGCAGCGGAGCCTGCGCTTGCTTATTAAAACTTTCCAAAAACTATTTTTTAGAAAAGTAAGTATATATATATACTTACTTTAATGGGATGCTTTTACTGCTTTTACTAACATTTTCTTCTAAATATAATGTCGAGTTTAAGGAAAATGTGTTTATAACTAACAACTACCCATTATAGTTGTGTGCTTATATCTAACCCAGGCCATTGTATTTTTTTTTTACACGAACTAATAATAAATGAATAAAAAAAACGAGAGACTATTTAAAATTCGCTCCAATTATATTTAAAATATTGTTCGCCAAATTCCTGAAAACTCATCGATTAACATAACCAAAGTGAAAAGCATTTTTAAATAATAAAGTAAGTAATTGGCTGTATACCAATTTTAATTACTTAGATATTGTAACTAAAAATATTGAGTAGACATCCAGAAAATTAAAAGAAATTAATATTTAATAAGACATGAGACGCTTCCTTAAAATTTTTGATAGGCTTCCATACATTGAAACTTACGTTGACAAAATTTGGCGAGCTTGACATCTACCGCCGCCCGATTTGATATTTTTTGTTTTTTTTTGTGTTGGGGTATAAACATCGCAATCCTCCAGCAAAGGTAATTCATCGTTGTCTCAGATACTCCATAATACGGGGGCTTTAGCTACTCATCTTGGAATCTGAACAAGATAAAAAACCGTCTAACAACTAAAATTTATCACAAGAAACCGTATTACAAAACAAAAACATCATCACATTATTACCACGTAATAAATAATTATACAATTCAAAACAGCATACAGGAGGGGGGGGGTTATCATATCCAAGATCAGAAAATCTCAGTATTGTTTGTATTTTTTCTAAGTATGTACATTTTAAGATATTCTTATCACAAATTATAAAAACAAAAGTTTGCTTTAATAACTGTTTCTTAAAACTCTTCGCTTTTATATTAGTTTAAAATATTATGAGAAAATTTTCAAACTTCAATAAAATGTCAGGATTTATCAAAGGAATACGTGAAAAGGCCTGCGCACTCCGCTCTGCTCTTTAAAATTTTTCAATCGATAATCCTAATGGGAGCGGTTGGAATAGATCGAATTAAACCATAATTAATCCATTCTCTCCGCTAGTAATGAAATCATGACACACCACAATCTGATCGTAGAACATGTCATAATGTCACACTAGGTTTTGGAAATTTATAGAGGTTATACAATGCTCAGGGAAACCTGAACACAAAAAAGTAATCAATGGCCATCGTTCTAATTTAAAATGTTGCTAGGCGGCTTACTAGACTACATTAAACACGGTCTTCTGACGTCACTAATTGTTTAAACCAAATGTCATTGAGTAAACCCCTAGATAATGTCGTGTCGTGTCTCTGATCAGGATACCAGAATTCAGCTTAGAACTAACATAAGTACATAATTAATGTAGTGAACTTTTTGTTTTGAATAGGGGTACCCAAGAATTTTAGATGTAAAGTTAAATATAAAGATATGTAAACTTCTTGGGGGTGGTACCTACTTGAAAAAGTAACAACAAGGGATCTCCATATTTTGTGCTTAAACCTGGGGAATTGGGGATGGCTTCAAGACACTACGGTCCTTGTTTATTTAAATACTAATACCCATTTAATTTGAGGAAATCCACCTTTTTCATTGACTACGTCTTGAATGTTTATTGTACTTTGGTTTCATGATTATATCGATATCGATAACTTTAATTTGATATCGAAACTATTTTATGTGTTAGACATGTTAGATTGTCACACAACTGCATATATTTATTTATTCATTCAACAAGTTTTGTTATTTTAATACAAATAAATAAGTAAAATGTCATATTTTCTGTTTTGAACTTCATTTTCACCTCATTAACGTTAAAAATCGATTGGCAAAATTTAAGAGTTTTGTGTAACCTGATGTGATGCGACTGTATCTTCGTTTATTAGTATGTTACTCATATAATATTTGTTTCCATCAGTACACACACATGTCAGTACAACGAGGAGGATGGCACGATGCGTATGTACCTGCGAGGTCGGCCCGTCGTGTTGTACGAGCCTAGCGACCTGGAGAACCTGGACCCCGCGAAGGTGGCGCCCCCACCGCAGAACAAACTCAAGCTCGAATGGGTTTATGGTTACAGGTATGTTAACTACTCTGGTCGGACTTAATTATGCATTAAATATTGAAGAATACCAAAAGATCTGAAGGAATCAAACTTAACATTCACAATAGCGACTAAAGGTGCTCGGCTACTATCTCAGCACGTCCACTGCAGTATATTTTTCATAGATGCTTCTATTAAAAATGCAACTGTCAATTTTACTAATGCTGATGACGTCATATGAATTTTTAAGAAAATCCGTTGCATGTCGTGCAGCCGGTGCTCGTGACATATTGACTATCACCTTATAACTCGCACGTTATTCTTTTTGCCCTGTAACAAAAATTTGGAAAATTTCGAATCCGGAAAAATTATATCCGTAAAGATTATCAATGCATCAGAGACAATGTTAGGTCCTACCTTGCGTCATGATTATCGAGAAATACATTTCCTTAGAGTCGTGTTAGAATTTCGTTACTAGATGAAATTTCATTTTCAGGGAAATAAAATAGGCCGTAAGGTGACATATTGATTCGTATGAGTAGGTAGTACTTGATCTACTTTCGATACATTGGTTTTGCTGTAATTTAAATATTTATATATGTACTAGTGAGCTCGGCGAACTTTGTTAAATATATAAACGTCTTGTTTTCTCCTAACAATCAATGAATAAGCAAATGTAGAATTTAACGATAATTAAAAATAAACTATAGTCATAGACAACATTACTTGAACTATCAGTTGGGTTTTATTATAACACTATTATCACAAAATTTTTAGTTTTGTATCATCACCATCACCAGCCCTTTTACGTCCCCTTTGCAGGGGCTCAGGCCTTCCTTATGGATGGTTAAGAAGGATGGGCCATGACCCTCCACGCTGGCCCAATGCGGATTGGACGGTAGTTAGAGTTAGTTTTGTATAATTATTATTATTGTTGATGAAATATAATATAATAGTTATTATCCTATCCCCGATGAAGAAAAATTTAAAAACACTAATATTATAAAAATATATTCTGACGTTCTCGAGTTATGAATGGTGTAACTAACACGACTTTCTTTTGATCTTAAGTTGAATTTTCCGCTTCATAATATTATTTGAGTTATGACCTTCTACGATAATTAATAGCCGCTTATTTCACTATTACTTACGGAAAATTTCATTAATTTTTAATGAACACATAACGCGCTGTGATCGATCATATCAAGGCCACGCCTGAAAACAATACAATGAATATGTTAGTTAGCTTCACGTTATGTGTCCACGAAATTATTTTACATGGCATCATTTTTTTTTTTAATTTACCATCGCATGGTCGTTTTCTTGATGGTTATTATGACTGTACAATATGATCTATACAATATAAAGCTTTATTCTATGGACGTATATTAAAATTGCAATTTACCGTAAATTTACTCTGGTGCTAAACCTTGTTTAATAATAGCACTGTATAGGGTATATATATGATAAAATAACCAACAGCTTATTGTTTTGTTTACGATAGAAAAAAAGTTAGTTTGATAATAACATAGTATACGATACCATAATTAAACCCAGCGTGATATAAAATAAATAAAGTTATAAAAATGATTCATTGTACGTATGCTATAAAAAATATACTTTTGATTGTATGTTTCCATCGAATATGCTCCGAAAGTACTGGTTCGATTGCAATCATTATTTCACCTACGAGATGCTACATTATAAGCGGGTGAAGTAATACGAGCGAAGTCACGGGTAAACAGTTAGCTATCCATATAAAAGCTTAAAACTATAGTACACCTTCCAAACGAATTGAATCGTATTCTAATTACTGGAGCTAAAAGGACTTTACAATCTTAGAACATTTTTATTGACTAGAAATGTAAGGTGTGCGTCTTTTGGCAAGGAGTATCTTTTATATATCTAGCATAGCCTCTCGACTGTAATGGTAGGATTCAAATAACTATATACAGCCTAAAGATTTTTGATAGGCACGACTGTTGACCTCGCGAGTCATGTACTGTACAATATTCTGATTTTTATACAAATCACCTTTACAATATTCCTTTCACATATAAAGTTATTAACTACACAATATGTGAATTGAAAGGTCTGATAGTTCCATTATCAGAAGATAAATTAAAAACTATGTATCTATCCTATAGAAAAATACTATGAAATTCACCAGTCTCAGGCGACCGACATATTTTTTGAAACTAAGTTTTGGCAGGGTTCGTTAATATCAAGATAATTATTTTTTGGATAATTATCATGATAATTATCGTTTAATTATCATAATAATTATCGTAGAATTATCCGTTAAATATCTGATAATTATCTATAGTTACTAGCAACAATTTTTTTTAATTCAGAAAGACATTCATTATTTAATGAACTTTTATACATAATTAACCGTCAAATTACATTGAACAAAAAGTGAAATGAAAATATAAATAAAATATTTTTTTAATAGAAAGGGATCTTTTAAGCTTTTTGATTATTTTGTAGGTCTATACTCGTAATTTTCTGTATCAGAAAAACAATTGTTTAAAGATGATTCCCCTTTAAGCTTACAAGCCCTAAAGTACAAAAGAAATTTGTGTCATTTGAATTAATGATGATTTTTATTCCGAACCCTGTTTTTTGGGTCTCTTTGAAAGGTTCAATCAAAACCTGCTTTTTAATCTTTTATGTGAATTATCACGAGTCTTTCTTAATAATCTTCAGTTAGCATATCCCTTTAAATTATCAAGCAATGTAGCAACGATTTCATTCTTCGTTCAAACTCCGTGCTAAAGACGGACTTTTTGTCAGTCTGACGAAAAGAGCAAGCCTATTTTCCACCTTTGTACAGAATCTGCAGATATTCAATTGAGGACAAGCAATGACAAGTGTATACGGTCTATTTATAATATGGCTTGTGTCAAAACCGCAAACGGAATAAGTAAAAAGTTTTTAATTTTAACATTTTACATACTTTTTTTATATGGAAAAAAAAATAGTAGAAAAGGATCGCTTGACGCAATACAAATAAGTAATCTGTGGTGTTAGTCACTAGTGACACAGAATTTACAACCTTTAGTATACTACGTTCGGCTTGAATTTTCACATCCACTGATTCATTTAAGAAATGTTCCGTGTTAGTCATCAAACCAAATTACCCAACCTTAGGTACTTGTAGATACTAGGTCGAATATTCAATTGCTACAAACCATTTTTTTTTTATATATATATAAATAGAAGAAATGTGTCAGGGCAATATTTTAAATATTTTTGATATTTGTTCGTTTATGATAATAACTGTTGAAATGAAAATGAAAGTTGTACGAGGGTCAAACTGAAAGTTCTTAGAACTGGCCACTTATAAACAATATAATAAAAAAATAATTCTAAAATTTGAAAATATAACTCTTTGCCAATATTACTGAGTATATATTTCATTCATTTGTCATTTGTTTTACGATTTGGCGGCAAATTGAAAATTGTCTGTGTCACGTCATCATGAATTTAACACGAGAAAATTTTCGTGCAATGATTTTTTATGACTTTCGATGTCATTTAAGTCAACAAGAAAGTTATGATAGACTACGATTGGCCTTTCACGATGAAGCCCCATCTCGTGCGACTGTTTACAACTGGTTTAATGAGTTTAAACGTGGTCGCACTAATCTCACTGATGATTTACGTGAGGGACGGTCTTCTACGGCGACGACTGAAGATAACATCTGTGTTGTGCGGCGTATGATAGAGACTGACAAAAGAGTGACCTATCAACAGATTCGGACAAGCTTAGGCATCGGTATGAGTCAAGTGCACAAAATCCTCCACGAACATTTAGCGGTCAGGAAGCTTTGCGCCCGGTGGATACCTCATAATTTGACTGAGGCTCAAAAACTCGCATCGTGTGGATTGGTGTCGTAAAATGATTGAAAGATTTAACGGAGGTGACTCAAATGCTGTGTTCGACATACTAACAGGTGACGAAAGCTGGATTTACTGTTATGATCCTAAAACCAAAAGACAATCTGCTCAGTGGGTGTTTCCTTTCGAGGAGTTGCCAACTAAAGTGAAGAGAGATCGAAGTGCGGGAAAAAAAATGGTGGCCTCGTTCTTTGGAAGGATAGGTCATTTTGCAACAATTGTGTTAGAGGATCAAAAAACAGTTTCTGCAGAATGGTACACTACCAATTGTTTGCCACTTGTCTTGGAAAAAGTTCGAGAGAAACGACCTCGCAGTAGGATCCTCCTTCACCACGACAACGCCTCGTCGCACACCGCCAAGCGAACGATCGACTATTTGGCGACATCAAACGTTGAATTACTGGGTCACCCGCCGTATAGCCCCGACCTCGCGCCTTGTGATTTTTATTTATTTCCAAAAATTAAAGAAAAACTTAAAGGAAAGCGGTTTATGAATGCTGAAGAAGCGGTGGCTGCGTATCGCGATGCCATTGAAGAGACCCCTAAGGACGAGTGGGCAAAGTGCTTTTCCCAGTGGTTCCATCGCATGCAGCGGTGTATTGACGTGAATGGACAATATTTTGAAAAGATATAATAAAACTAATAACTGGCTAATGTAATCAGTTTTTGATTTTCTAAGAACTTTCAGTTTGACCCTCGTAACGATTTTATGCCACATAACTTCGTGTCCATGATGAAATTAAGCAATCTTCGATGGTGGTAATTTTTCTTACTTTTTCAAGTTTAAAAGGGTAAGATTTATTTGCTCGGTCAAGACCATGAGCGTTCCCATTAAATGCAATCGTTTGTCCATTTACCAATTGTGTTTTTCAACAAAATTGGTGTCAATTACAACCTACGCCATCTCCTACTAGGTACTGTTTTAAAGACAAATTCGTCTCCATTGAAGATTATACTACACATTAGATTTATATAGTTCACATAAAAGTGAATTGTAAAATGTGTTGCTAAGTACAAAACTAGAGAACGACTTTTTAAATATTCTAAGAAGATTCTGGACCTACTACCCTTTTAACATGTTCCTAGTTGTCAAAATAAAATAAAAAGCATTTATCTTCGAAACAAATTACTCTCAAATATTAGACTCCAATCAAAAAATGCGATACAAAGGTAGACCTGAGAGCTAGTATTGAAACCTTCTGTTTAAAGCATATTCTATGTATGTTACCCAAATTAATATACAATATATTGATATACGTGACTCTTACCATTACCTTATATTTATCGAGACCCCGACATTTCGTCGTAGTTTCTAGCGCCATGATCTCGAGAGGACCTGAAGACTTGCGAGTGAATTTTGCACATATATTATGGAAACCTGAAACAAAAACAAACCTTCATAACACCATAGTAGAAATAACACCATTTGTCTTCATTGACACGTCCGGAAGTCAAACTCAGGACCTCTGAGATGGCTTTGAATTCGGCGTGTGAGCCACTCATAGGTCCTAAAGTAGGTTTTCGTCTTTTCGAACTTACCTTTTATTTATAATATTTCGGATTAGTAAATATACTTGTACTCGTATTAAAGTGACCTCATAATGTCCCTAGTTATTATCTATAATGTCCCCAGACGGTGAAGGTCGTAGAATAGTCATTTGTCTGGGGAAATTAAATAAATTTTCCGTATTAACGACACTTTTAGTTTGTAATAACTTACATACACGTTAATATTTTTTTTAATTCGATTTCGACGAGTCGAAATACCTGCAAGAAGTGGCAAAGTAGCTTACGACTACGAGCCGCTTCTCGGTGTCACTATTTCCGTGGTCCCGCGTTCGATTCTTATCTCTATGAATATCTAATACCTTATCATTTCAGTTTTCAAAAGACTTTAACTAATCAACAGAGTATAATGATAATCAAAACAGCTTGGTAAAGGTGAAATTAACTACTCATGACTTCTTGATATTTGATAAAACTCATTTCAAGATCAAGACTGTATACCACGAAATATACGTTGCCCTAATCCCATTGTCTTAACAACAATCGAGTCTTGTCTTATGGTGACCGGTCGCGGGGCCAAGGTTACTTTTTGCCGGACCACGGTTGGTCAGTCAACCTCGGCTAATCTGACCAATCTCGTTGGATGTTGCCAAAGAAGCTAATAATCATTGTCATCAAAAACTTTTAGAGGGTGCCTAAAACAAAATTGTAACTAACTAAATAAATTGAATTAATAATGACGAAACGGTACATCTTATTTAAGAGGCAATACTGGGGTCCAAAAAATTTTTTCTGATAGAAAAAAATCTTATACTTTTCTTCTTTTTATTATATATTTTTAATAAATAATTCATATTTTACTGTTAAACAGCATGCAATAACTTAAAATAAACTATTTTTATGTACTTAATTATTAACTATTATACTCGTATATCATTTAATTAAAGTGTTCCAAATAATATATCTTATTCAAAAAAATATTTACTATAAGGACATAAAAACTTAATATCAACTAAATTCATTAACTGTTGATAATTCACTCTTGTTTATTCAAAAGATTGATATTCATACGACATATCCTAAAACTACTTTTTTCTATTACATTACCTTTATATTTCTCGTAAACATATTAACATCATGTCATTTAGTATTTAAGGCGCCATCTTTTGATGTAAACCATCAAAAAGCTATAGGTTATTAATTTTAAGCTGATCAATAGGTATATTATTTAACTATTAGAATGATAGTCTATTGATGACAAATTTAATTAAGAAAAGCTGTCTTAAAGTTAGTTTTTTGCTTCGACAATATAGACATCAATATCATAGCAGGTACTAGAGTGCCATCTCTTGGTAGAGTTTTCCATACAATGATAACCTCAAAATGAATTACATTTAGCTGATAGAGAGAGTTCTAAAGCTCGGTGGCGGTAGAATAAGACAGAATGAGATTAGTTAGTGACACACAATAAAATAAGTATTTTCCTATATTTTTTTTGGCTCTGGGGCCACGCGATCGTATGGACGTTGAGCAATGTCCTTTACTAGGAAATCTAAAAGGTCGGATCTACCGGATTTAGTTGCGTGACCGCAAAACCAATTATTATCTTAGGTAAAGCTGGAACGCCGTAGTTTGCGGAAGAAGCAAACAGATTACTGAGCTTTTACCTGTTGGCATCGTTCCGGCACACATGCAGAGTTGTGCATGTCTTATTGTTTAATTTTTACTTCTTTACTCTTCAATCTTTGTATTCATTCAACTTTATAATTGTTGGCCATGCGTGTGAGGGATCATAGGCAAATAAAATTATTCTTCATACATTCAAATCTTGTGTTAAAAATACAAGTGTCTTTTTTTGTTACATACAGTTCTAAGTTTGATTTTACAAAGACACATATCTCGTGAATATACATACGCGGTACAGTAAGTATTTTTAGAGATCTGAATTAAAGGTGACGATTTACAAGAAAGCCAAGAGTCCACATCAACAATGGCTCTGACGCATTGCTTCTGGGCTATAAAAACTTTTCAAATTTTCACAGAGTTACCCCATGTTACTATGCCGGACCTAAGATTTGAAGCAACATAGCCATGGTAGGCTTTCAAGGCAGTCTGTATGTCGCTTACTTTTGATAGCCGCCACAATACGTATGAAAGTCTGTTCAATTACGGACATAATTTATCAATGTGGGTAAACCAAGTACACCCATTGTCAATTTCTAACCCTAGAAAAGCAACAGAGTCAACTTCTTTTAGAATTTTATTATTACAGTAAATAGTCAAATTTTGTTTTATGATATTTTTGTTTGTAAATTGTATTTGTCTTTATGTTTACTGATATTTAGAAGTTGAGAGTGTCTATGCTACGTATACCAGACTATATGTAGGGCAACAAAGGAACACGCGCGTACTAAAACATGTAAGGCTATGTTATTATCGTTCAAGGCGATCTAGAAAAGCGATGACGCTGGAATAAATTTATGATGGATCGTTAATTTAGGCTCAAATTAATTTATATTTTACATGTCCGCGGATACGGCACACTCGCGTGAGGGCGTTGCGTGTTACATATCGCCTAGAGGATTCCGATGGGTGCTTACCACTGTGTTCTGTTGTGCTATTGCATACACGCTATCTTTCTCGCTCTAGCAAATGATACTTTTTGAGTTGCAAAAAAGAATAGGATATTGTGGCCTATTCTTCCTATCTTATTCTATCCTTAGATAAGTCCTACGCCCCAGCAATAGGGACATTAATACTTGATAATGATAAAACACCCAATAGTGAGATTCGATTACTTTTCAGACTAATGAAAATATAACTATGTTTATAAATTTAAGGTAATTCATTTGAAATCAAGCGGTTAAAATTGTCATTTAGAATTATATTAATTTTTTTGTCTCAGTTTTAGGTTTTGAAGTAATTTTCCAATATGTAGTATATACTTAACAATTTTTTAGTATGTCCCACTTTTAGTACATAATTGTACTAAGTACTATTTTTGGACATAAACTATCCATTTTTACGTCTATATTTATATCTGTAGGTATCATTACAATATGTTACTAACCGGAGCTTTTCAAATTTGTATAAAATAAATCCTCGCAGATGAAGACTAATCATTAAGATAAAAAAACTCGCATATACATACTAATTGCTTCATGAAATAAAACAAAAGGCAAAAACTGGTGTTCCTTTGTTTGTTTTAATTGACCGAGAAAAATATTTCCTTAAAGCGTGTTTTTTATATATTATATTTTTTTTATATATTGTGCTATTTTATGTCTGTAATCGAATGTCGTAGCAAGCATTTGATATTTTTAATTTTTTTAAATAAATGGCAATATCTGTAGTAATTACTTATTCTCATGAGATTGCTTTCTTACTATAGAATAAATCTTCATGTCAGTAATCTGAGTACAACTAAGCAGAAATAATTTAAGTTTTACTTTTCAAAACTTCCCGGGTCGACACCCGATTTTTTTTTATGTTTTAATGTTATTGTAACATTTTATTAGTTTTACATTCACAATGATAATTATTTACTGATACTGATAATATTTGAGAAAAATGCTTCAAAATTTCGCTAACCCCAGGTAACCCAAAGATCATTTTAAGGAATTTGAACTATATGTAGTTACTCAATATGGTATTAATATTTTTTATTAAAGTAGAACAACATTTTTATAAGATATCTACTTTTGTTTGTTACAGAGGCAAAGACTGTCGTAGTAATCTCTATTTATTACCCACCGGTGAGATGGTGTACTTCGTGGCGGCCGTGGTAGTGCTTTTCAACGTGGACGAGCAGTGTCAGCGCCATTACACGGGCCACACGGATGACGTCAAGTGTCTGGCGGTCCACCCCAACAAACTGATCATAGCCAGTGGTCAATGCGCCGGCCATGATAGGCTGGACGCCAGGGTCAGTATAAACCGCCACTGCTCTCTCTGTTTCTGATATAAGAGTTAGTTTGACTAATTATAAAAACAACAAATATTGTAGTTATAATTGAACCTTTCCTTCAAAATTTTGCGAAGTTTTTGATAATTTTCGTTCAGTTTGCATCTTGAAATGGATCAAATTATTTAAATTATTATAGTATTGATGGAATTTCTAATATTTTCCAAATAGTCCTAGGTAAAGTCCATTTTTTTTCTATGGCTCATAATGGTACATCTTTTTTTTATATGGGGGGGAGTGTTAATAGTTTCCATGTAATTTAACCTTAATATTGCAAACTACTGCAGGAATATCAATTGATCCCAAAGTAATAGGACTAACCTGTCTTAATGCAGTCTTGTTGCCGTCAAACGGTCTTTCGGACTATTAAACGTCTGGTCACATAAGTCTGTGTGATATATAGGAACTCGTTTAATGTGTCCGTTACAGCCCCACGTGCGGGTGTGGAACAGCGTGTCGCTGGCCACGCTGGCGGTGATCGGCGCCGGACAGATGGAGCGGGCGGTGGCGTGCGTCACGTTCTCGCGGGCGGACGGCGGGTCGCTGCTGGCCTGCGTGGACGACGGGCCCGACCACAACATATCCGTGTGGGAGTGGCAGAGGCCGGACAAGGGACACTGTCTGGCCGAGACTAAGGTGACATTAGGAACCAGAGCCACAATATAATCCTATAAGAATGTATCATCATCATCACCAGCCCTTTTTTTACATCCCCACTGCTGGAGCTCAGGCCTTCCTTAAGAATGGTTAAGGCGGATGAATTAGATCCTCCGCGCTGGCTTAATGTACACTGGAGGGTATAAACGAGTGAAAATACAGCGGGGATTAACAGCTTAACGTGCCTTCTGAATCACGAGATAAAAAAATTTTGCTAATCCCATCCCGGGGCCGACCCTTGTGAAAGTTGATATTAAAAACAACTCTAGTGGGCAGCGGTGCTTATCCACTATACCAACCAGATACTCTGTAGGAGTGTATGCAATACACTTGTGGGTTTAAAGCAATAAAAAATGTCTTTGTAGATTATCCCTGAAATAAAAAATATTGAAATAAGTTTTGTACCAGAAATCCTGAATTGCGTGTGCAACATTTAATTTATAAGACGTTTGTTCTGACGTCACGCGACGCAAATTCCCTAAGATATGCACTGACACTTACATGTTAAGGTGACACTCTATAAGAAATGTGTGTAAAGTGGAACAGCGCCTAATTCCTGAACGATATTTCGAATATTGTCCACAGTGTTCCGTGGATACAGTAGTGGCTGCGGAGTTCCACCCTCTAGACCGCAACCAAATAGTGACGTGCGGCAAAAACAACATCGCCTTCTGGACCTTGGACCAGACCAACGTACTGTACAAGAGACTCGGAGTATTCGACTCGCGAGACAAGCCAAAGTATGTCACCTGCTTAGGGTTCAATCAAGACGGTGAGTGTGTACAGAGCTCTTATGTTCACTGAATTTTTATCTGACATATTTTTTACCAGTGAAGTTAGAATTTTATACTTAAAAAAATTAAGAAAATATATCATTACTTATTATTTACTTATACATGTCTTCAATTAAATCTTAATATCTAAAATAAAAAAAATCAGTATCTTATTTCTAAAAGGAGATTCCCATATACGCATCTTTCAGCCACCATGAATGCTGCTTCGTTACCCCTAGTACTTAGCACCCAGCGAATATTTGTTAAGATGCGATTTGTCAAAAATAACAGGCAATAATAATTGTTTGGTATCGATTACATGAATTAGGTGACGTTCTGTCCGGGGACTCGAACGGCAACATAATAGTGTGGGGCCGCGGCACCAACACCATCGCCAAGTTGGTGCGCGGCGTGCACTCCGGCGCCGTGTTCGCCGTGTGCCCGCTCAAGGACGGCCGCCTGCTCACGGCCGGCGGCAAGGACGGCCGGATCGTGGCCTTCGATGCGGACATGAACGCCACCGGGGTCGAGGCCGTCGTGAGTAGACATCTACCTAACTTGAAACGGCGTTGAACATTTCTAAGATTGGTCCTAACCTTGAAATTATCATCTTTACCCCTTTTACGTCCCCTCTGCAGAGGTTCAGGCCTTCCTTATGAATGGTGAGAAGCGTCGGCTGTAACCTTCCACGCTGGCTCAATGCGATTGGAGGGTATTAACGTCCTGCAAATGCAGCAGGGATCACCAACTTAACGTGCCTCTGAAGCACGGAGTAACTCGAAATAATAATTTTTGGACCTCCAAGAAAGTTGCTTAGCAACGACGATCGTGAGCCGAGGCGCTTATTCACTACGCCACCGAGCTACGAACCTTAAAATACAAAAGAAAGTATAATTCAATTTAAGTGTCATTATAGTCCTACAGCAAATTTTTCACCGCTTGTAGGATTAATTATTAAGTTTATAATCAGAATCTTGAATTCACCAAATAGGAAGTTTACTTGCGTCAAAAATGTAAACGATGTGTCTCTTGTTATTTTGCTTTTAAATGTAAATTATGTGTTTATATTTTTATATTCAAACTAACTTTCGCCAGCGGCTTCGTCCGCGTGGACCCTAGAGAAATGTTTAGTGGGATAAAAAGTATCCTATTATCTAAGTCAGCTAATCAAATTTCTGTATTCTGCAAAAAATCTGTATACCAAATTTCATCATAATCTGTTCAGCAGTTTCGGCGTGATTGACGGACAAACATTCAAACAAAGAAACTTTCACATTTATAATATTAATAGGATATCAAAAGAGGGGTAATTTTGGGTCATCTCCTTTAAACTGAAATGTCGGAGAGTATCTTATATAGATTGCATGTAATTATGATATCTATGATTCTCCTATTATGTGTATCCAACATAGGATGCACAAGAAATGTAGTCTATATATGTACGATATCTGATTTAAAGAGGTATAATATAGTGTTACTGTTTGCACGCAGATCGAGGGCCACTACGGCGGCGTGCGCGCCGTGAGCGAGGGCCGCGGCAGCCAGGTGCTGGTGGGCACCACCCGCAACTGCATCTTGCACGGGGACCTCGAGCTGGGCTTCACGCCCGCCGTGCTCGGTCAGTGCCCTTCACTTTATAAATGTGTCTTGTATATTGCATGTAATTGTATGTGATGCTATACGTGCTCCTCCTTGTTTTATTTTAAATTATTTAGTTTGTTTATTTATTAAACACTGCGGCATATTGCTGAGCGGAGACATTTTTAGTACCTAATTTTGAATTTTCTATTATCATACTATTAATGTTATATACTTATAATTTAAACAATTTTCTATTCTATTCTATTCTATTGTGCGTCCCTCTCCACGCTGGCCCGATGTAGATTGGAGGCTATTAACGTCCTGCAAATGCAGCCGGGACTGGCGATTTAACGTGCCTTCCGAAGTACGCGGAAGCATAATAATTTTCGGTCACTCATCCAGTGACCAACACTCGCATATACTGTATCCTGCACGGAGACCTCGAGCTGGGCGATAAATCGATCGCTCTCGGAGCAAAGTAAATGAGCCACACTCCCGGCGAATCTTTCCCGTATACAATAATAATATTGCTATTGTTATATGTTACTCAATAATTTGTTGTCAACATATGTAACATATAACAGACGGTATAAGTATAAACATGTGAATATATGACCCCATAGGGCAAGACAATTTGGAACGACAGGCGGATCTTAAAAATATATCAAATTAGATCAGGCAGTTTGAGATTGGGCAATTAATACAAATATTTAAATTTATAAATTACAATAGTAGTATCAAGTAATAAATAACTTTTAGTATTTTTATTTTATTAAATTTCAAGTATTAATTTATGTTATTTTTTAATTAAATGCGCCTCGCATGTACGCATTATGAAGTGCTAAAAATGCTCGTAGGGGAGACCTAGGTGAGTTGTGACAGAGGTGAGTTGTGACAAGGAGGATTTCTCTCTACGTATTATAGTAAGCGAGATGGCATTAACGCTTGTTTGTCGTTCTCGACACGCGCTACACGACTCAGTACCTGTCGACGGTGCATGTGGCACAGTTGCGTAAATATATCGTCAGTGTACAAAAAATTACGAAAAGTAAGTTTTTCTTCAAAATATTATTTGAATATATATCATATCTTAGTATATGTGCATTGATGTGTTATTTTTTCTTAAGTTATGTAGTTATTTAAGTCTCAATACGTGGCACTGATTTTTTGTATGCGCATCGTGTTTAGAAAATATGAATTATTATTCGGACCAAGACGTCATTTTGAACACCTAGGAGAGTTGTGACAGCCTGTCACAACTCTCCTAACTTACTCCAAATTTCTGCTGGGCTATTTTTACATTTTTTTTTATTAACTTTAGATGTTTGTTGGTGTGTTAGTAGCTACTTAAGGTGTATAATGGCATACCGCATACTTATTTTTTTGAGAATACCAAATAACTATACACGAGAGACTGAAAATCTAAGAATGTTAAGAAGCGTGTCTTAAGCGAAGAAAAAAAAAGAAACCTAAAAAAGCAAAGAAGACTAATAAGAAGAATAGAACAAGTGATGAAGAAGATGTAGAAAATAATTGCTTTTATTTGGTTTGCCTTGAAGCCTATGCAGACAGCAGATCGAATGATCAGTGGGTCCAAAGCCTGGAATGCAAAGGCTAGGCACAGTTAGATTGTACTGGGGACGAACTTCATTACGTTTGGCATAAATGTGAATCTGATTAGATTAAGATTTTATACTGATGAGAATATTCTCATAACAAGTAATTATAATATTTTCATTAACTAAATATTGTATCGCTTTGAGATCAATCATATTATTGTAGTATTAATATTAATACTATGTTGTTTTAGTTGGTAGGTATTAAAAGATGATTAATCAAATCAAATCAATCTTTATTGTTGATCGCAGGTTATATAAAGATATTGGATGCAAGGACTGAATAGTTACACCGTGATCTGCCTAAAAAGCATACAATATTTGTAGGTTAGTAATTGTCAACTAATCTAATCAATAACATGTTATGTCAAAAATTCAACTCATTCATTAAGTATTTATACATTTACAAAGTACTGTCAGCTAGATACTCGTTTACACTATAATACGTTTTAGCTACTAATAATTTATAAAGTTTTCTTTATAAACATTACAATTATCCAGATTACGTATCGTTTTTGGAATTTTATCAAAAATTTTTGGAGCCATACAAAAGATACTTTTGTTCAACTGAGCTGTCTTAGATTGATGGCAGGGTCATAATATTTAGTTTAATAAAATATGCTCCTAACACATTTTTTCTGGGCTTTAAAGGCAGTTACAGAATCAGTCGAATATCCCCAAAATATAATCATAACATATAACCGTATCGAACAGTAGAAACTACGTACGCGTGATAAGCTGTAAGGACCGTGCACTGATTCGCGATCCTACTAAGTTTGTACAGTGCACAAGAATACTGGGACAACTTTTTGCAAACATGTTCAGTGTGTGTTTTCCAAGTCAAATTTATTATTATAGTACTGATTAAAACACTGATTTGATAAAAAAAAACGTGCTTGATTTATTTATGTCGTATGTAATGGTATTTTTATATCTTATAGCTTAAATACAATGATGTCACAACTTACCTCGGTACCTGTCACAACTTACCTCGGTGGTAGGAGAGTTGTGACAAGGGGAGTGGACTTGAATTTTGTTACTTTTTTCAGAAACTATTATACTTTAATTAATTTTAGTGATGGTTTTGAAAACAGAAGGAATGGCGCTAAACTAATTCACATGAGTCATAACTGTGGAATGTTTCTTAAGTGAGATAGAGCCCCTTATGTAAAAATTGTCACAACTCTCCTAGGTCTCCCCTACAATACCGAATTCTCCGGTACCACGCATGCGTAACTTATCGACTAACGTAAATGTACATAATGACTTGTAAATCAACTATTTTCTTTTTTAGGAAAATAATTTGTTTTGATATTGATTGTGTTAATGCACTCGGTATACAGGGCACGTGGACGAAGTGTGGGGCTTGGCGGCCCATCCCACGTTGAACCAGTTCGCCACCGCGGGGTGGGACAGGCTGCTGCAGCTCTGGGACGGACTCAGTCACTGCACTGTCTGGAGCAAGGACATCGAGGTATATACACATGCAAATTTATTAAATAACTGAATAATCTAGTTCTCAAAAGTGGAAAATATACGCCATCGGTATAAAAAAAAAATTAATTGTATTTGAATTTAAGAATGGAATATTGATTTTCTTTCGTTTATGATAAAAGAGATGAGTAATTTTGTCTCCCCAAAATTTCCTTTTTTGAAATTGCTCTTTTGAATAGTCCATCGAAAATTTCTATTTAGCTACGTGAAAACATGGGCACTAGAGTCTTTACAACTTTTAATAAGAATTGGCCGAGCGCGAGTCGGATTTGCGTGTCGAATATTACGTACTTATATTGGATTCTAAAACCATAAACTTAGCTTTTCTTTTAATTAAGAAGTATAGAATTAATGTACAAACAAAAATTATAAATCTAGGACGTAAATTTTACCTATTTTTCTTAACTATAACCTCAATCTGTTTTTATATATTAATTTTCCTTATAACCTCTCATTCCAACTGAAAATTTTAGGCAAATGCGATAGTTTGACAGCCGCCACAGCTGAGAGTTGTGCAAACCGCTGTCTATATCGTCTCTCGTTTGTTTCATAGTCTCAGATGGTCCATAGTACGAGAGCTTTAGCTTTATTTCCATACTACGAGAGCTTTAGCTACTCATCTTGGAACCTGAGCAATGTGTTATTTGTTTACATGGCACAGGAGCGCGCCCAGTGCTGCGCGTGGTCGGCGGACGGCGGCGTGCTGGCGGTGGGCACGCTCACGGGCGCCTGGCTCGTGTTCCATCCGCACTCAAGGGAGCTGCTGGCCCACCACCAGGACGGGTCAGTGGACACGGCTACTGTATCTACTCCGCCATACACATATTATACAGGGTTACTTGTCAATTTGCCGGACTGTACAGGTCTTATACAGGGCTACTGTATCTACTCCGCCATACAGATATTATACAGGGTTACTTGTCAATTTGCCGGACTGTACAGGTCTAATACAGGGCTACTATATCTACTCCACCATACAGATATTATACAGGGTTACTTGTTAATATGCCGGAACTGGATAGCTAACATCCCGACAAGACCCTTAAGACTTTTTATTATCTTAAAAAAACGTATAAATTTATATCGATGTTCGAATGTTGATAGCTCTCCGCGTATTTAGTATTTATAATAATAATTATACCGTTTATTTCACATTTTAAATTACAAACAATGGTTGACTATTTTAAGAGATTACAAGGATTTTACATTATATAATAATTAATAATATAATCCGCATTTCCCGAAATAGGATCAACCCGAATTTTGGGAGTATCGATTCCTCCAAAACATTTATTTATGTAACCTTGACACCAGATATTTTTCCCTTACGGATCAAGCGTGTTTGTAATGTGTGTTCATGTGTGTATGTGATATTGGTTTACATATAATGTGTGTATGTACATATTTAGTACATAGACTTATAAATTTCAACTATTAATCAAACGAAGGAAGTATAAAAAATGTTACATTATTATTATTTAAAAATAAGTGCGATACGCTACTGAACTTCACGAAAAAATTGTGCACGAATTGCAAATTCACCCTGTATGTATATATATATTTTTTTTTATGTAATGCCATACAGTACAGAGCCGATCCAGACGATCCAATACTCGCCCGACAACAACATGGTGGCGATCGGGTCCCGCGACAACTTCATATACGTGTACCGAGTGGAGGGGGAGGGCGCCCGGTACAGCCGCGTCGGGAAATGTCTGGTCAGTTCAATCTCGTCAAATATTGTAGCGCTATAATATCTGTCTGTGGTATGAAATAAAAATGATTAAAATCTCGAATAGAAAAGAATAAATATGCAAGTCGACTTTAAATGTGAAAAATATAAGCAAATAATAATGTATTAATTTAATTCAAATTCAATTTAATTAAATCTTTAAGTTATCTACAAAAATATAGGTATGCCTCTAGCAATGTATAGAGTACCCTGTGCATGTGACAAAGTGCGAATCCATAACTCCATGCAAATTCTATATAGCTGTCAAAATTTCCATACGTGTTATTCTGACTTCCAAAAACTTTATGTCCAGCATTCCAAGTAAAAAATTCTGTAGGATAATGGTAATATTTATAAATTCATCAATCTTAGATAAGCCTTCTGCACATTAATAGTAATTATACAAAAATCTAGATTTTATTATACTTATAGTGTTGACTAATCTAACTACAAAACAACCGAAAATAATGATAGATAATTTAATAAAATGGAGGTATAACTAATCGATTACAATAGAAAAATCACATCTTCAACATAACATCAACATTACATATACTATATTCATTGTGCCTACCATAGCAGTTTTCTACTATATAGCAAATATTTCATCGGCTTATCCTAACGCATATATTCACATACGTAACGCACATTATCAAAACAACACCACAGTATCAAAATACATACACATAAATCGCACATAAATATCGCCCTATCTCAATAAAGAAATGTGTAAAATGTAATCAGAATCCATAATTTCAACAATGTTCATTCATTTTTCGTTGTGGTTTTACTTGTGGGTCCGTAGTACAAGGTAAAAGTAGTAGAGCCAACCAGTCTACTATGAAACAAAAAAACTAGTTTAAACTTAATTAAGCGAAAGATTAGGACCCTTCTAAGAATTAAGCCTCTATAACATTGTTTGGGCATCGTTCGTAATTTGAGTTTGTTACCAATTAATTTTTACTTCTTCTCTGTTAAAAGGGACTTGAAATTTATTTGAGAAAAATCTTAAGTAGCAACCAGACGTGATGTCACCTGTATATTGAAATTTAAGTTCAAAATTGATAAAGGAATTTCTATGCTTTTAGATAATTTAGATTTAAACTGTATACATCGGACTTCGATCTCTCAATGACTTATATTTATAATCAACCATAGTTTTTATGTACAGCTGTGGAATTCTGTTAAAAACAGCAGCGTCTAACGCAGGAACACAGCGCTGTCTCATCCTGTTCAGTCGAATGAAACCTACTTTAAAATGTAATAAAGGTGTTATTTGATTGTATCTCTAATACTACAATTGCGCTGTGATCGACGCTGTATTTATTAGGTACAGAATAGGTACAGAATAACAAAGCTGGTAATTAATTGTCTCGTTCACTAACATAATATAATAATTCATTTAAGTATTTTTCGACAAGAAAATCATTAGTGTCCATAATATATAAATATAATGATTTCACGCATCACCAAAGTGCACGGAGAAAAAGCGTAGAAGGGTAAAACATTGACATACAATTATAGGCTTTCAGCTAGTAGACGATTATTATTCTGGCATTATTATATTTGTATTCACAGTGTCTAGAAATTCTTTAAAAACGATCATATATTTTGCCAGCTAACTGTAAAACAAATATAGATAATTTTAAAATATTCGAGTCGGGTGTTTTCACTAAATTATCTATGTCCTTCCGTAATAATGACAGAATACTCAATAAGGTGAATTACCCTATATTTGGCATTGTTATTACTATTCTCTAGATATAAAAAATGGATTTAAATTAATTAAATAAATCGTAAATTGTCACGCAGGAACACCATTGTTTTAATTTGTATCGATAACATTTATTAACATATAATCCTGAATTTATCAGCATCGATTTCAAGATATTTTTCTGTAACTTTAATAACTGCAGATGCCAACTATTCGGTGTTTTACCCCACCTAGTTTTCGACTGCTTATGAAAATTACAAGAACTACTTTAGCTATATTCAATTTATCAATCGGCTTGCTTATCTAAGCTAAAGCATTATTTCCATTAGTTTGCTTTTAATTTTGAATATAAACAAAGATATAATTCATACAATTTTGTTCCCTGCATCACTTTATAATAAGGTTTGAAAGGATGCTGAATCAATGAAGTCTTATTAGATGCATGATTAAAACCTTAAATCCCCATTTACATATTCCTTGTACCTTATAAACTGTGTATCGTATTATAGCTCGCTTATTGATAATATAAAGTCTAGTGATTTCTTCAATAAATGGTCGTTTGTGATACACAGGGTCACTCTAGCTTCATCACACACCTCGATTGGTCTGAAGATAGTCAATATATAAGAAGCAACTCTGGAGATTACGAGCTGTTATTCTGTAAGTAATTCCATATCATCATTTGACTAAATTTCATATGATGCCTACAGTTAAAACTAGCTTCTTAGATAGAACGCTAAATGTTAAATTTTTCTAAATGTTAAATAGAAATACCTAGTCAAAACTAAAATTTATCATTAATATATTTGCAAGTAGTTACCACTTCGAGCTTTAATTAAAACTAGCACTAGTGAAACAATTACCATTTGGAAGTTTGGAGCTCCAATAGTTAATAACAATAAACATATTTTTTTAACAAATAACAAAAAAAATAGAATAAACAGTTATTTTAACCGACTCGCTTCTGTAAAACGCGTCTTGTCTAGTAAGATCTGGTTTTAACTGAATATATTATAAATATATAATTTATATATTTAGCTAATGACAATAATATATAATTTAAACGAAATTATGAAAATAATAGAATTCGTAAAGAGCGTTGCCAGGGGGTACAAAAGCGTCTCGGAAACTAATTGAATTAAATTCTCGCTATAGTGACAAATGCTGAACCACTCCTGACTGACTCACTTTTTTATTTTTGAAACTCTAAACTATATTTTGAAAATCTATTGGTTATGTTTTTAAATAAGCGGAACTAGATATTCTGCTTATTAAACAGCGATTATTTGATGCTGGTTATTAAATCACCATGAATGAACCTAGAATTAAAACAAAAAGCAAATAAAAATATTTTTTATTAAAATTTAAAATAGTATCTGTGAGTATTAATAGTAAACGATATGTATCGCTATCTATATAACTCTGTATCGTTACCACCGAGTACTGCCTATTGTTGAACGGGGTGGAGTAAGCGGTCTATTTACAACAAACTACGCGGAAGTGGTGCAGAGTTATATGGAAAGCAATATGTATCGTTAACTTTTAACGCTTAATAATTTAAAATTTAAATTATTAAATTGACAATGATTTAAATTTTAAATAATTGTCCGTTTTTTCATCTGCCCTAAACATACTTAGGAATTGAATAAGTTTCATATTAAAAGTACCTTATTATTTTCTATTGAGAAAATTAAAGAAATCCACGTTATAGTCCAATCACCAACATATATCGTCATCGTGAGACAAATTTATGATCCATTTGAAGCGAAAAGACTAAATCATCACGTGATCGTTGTAGGGAACGCGACGACATGTCGCCAGGTGTCGTCCCCGTCCAGCGTGAGGGACGTGGCGTGGGCCACCAACTACTGCCCCATCACCGCCACCACCGTGGGCGTGTGGCCCGACGGGGCCGACGGGACGGACATCAACTCCTGCACCAGGTACACATACACACATATACACGTATACACCGCCGGGGGCGTGTGGCCCGACGGGGCCGACGGGACGGACATCAACTCCTGCACCAGGTACACATACACACATATACACGTATACACCGCCGGGGGCGTGTGGCCCGACGGGGCCGACGGGACGGACATCAACTCCTGCACCAGGTACACATACACACATATACACGTATACACCGCCGGGGGCGGGTGGCCTGACGGGGCCGACGGAACGGACATCAACTCCTGCACCAGGTACACACATATACACATATACACCGCCGTGGGCGGTGTGGTGTGACCCGACCTCTTTTTCAGGACGCCTTTTAGGTGACAAGAAGAACAGGCCAAAGAAACTTATCAGCTCGTGTAAACTTATCGTCGTCTCATTACCAAAATACGTATAATTACAATATTATCATTGATACGTATTATATCATCAAAACAATCACTACGCCTCTTAACTTTAATCACTAAAAAGGTGTCATCTGCAAATAACACTGTCTCGCACAAATTCCTCGTAAAGTGAGGAAGTAATTTATGTAAATTAGAAAAAGCAATGGTCCTTATACCGATCCCTGAGGTACGCCCATAGCAATGGGTGCCCCTGCAGATTTCGCTTCATTAATTACTACTTTTTAAATTCTAGCAGAAAGATATGATTTTATTACATTTTGTGAATTTTTCGTTACACCACAATGCTCTAATTTCCCCAGCAGTGTTTCACGACTAACGCAGTCGAATGCTTTCGACAGATCGCAAAAATGCCGATAGTATCTTGTTTATTCTCCCAAGCATCATAGATATGCCACAGAAGTGCAATTATATCAATTTTCTTATTCATTTTGTGTATACATACATAGTATAAAACAAAATGGCTTCTCTCCGTCTGTACGCTGAGTTCTTTTAAACTACACAATGGATTATAATTCGGTTTTCACCAATACACATAGTGATTCATGAGGAAGGTTCATATATACAATAGAGGAGCACGCCAGCGAACCCGCTGGCGGAGGGCTAATGCAAATATGGCATTCAAATAAACAATAATATATAAGGTTGTCCTTTTTATGTTTTTGGCATAACTTCTGAATTATTTAGGTACTTCTGTTCCTACCTTGTAATTGTTCTAATATTTAGTTTTCGAATTATTGTTTAACTTTAGATCGCACGACGGTCGCCTCGCAGCTACCGGAGACGATTTCGGCAAAGTCAAACTTTACGCTTACCCTGTCACACAACCCAAGGTAACTCATTGTTTTCTAAACACTAAATTCATTTAAATTTGACTTGTAATGATGTAGAAAAAAAAAAAACATTTTCTACATTCACGCGACCAGATTTCAAACCCGGGGTCTCAGAAAATGGAGACTCCTAAAACTGACATAGTAATAAGGGTAATCCTTTGGCCCAGCAGAAGGTAGATTATAGGCTAATGATGCTTGAAGAATATTAAAACTTGAATATTTAAATTACGAATCAACAAAGCGCCTGGCCTCTTCTATGAAGCTTATTCTATTTGGAAAATTTCGAATCCTTTTTATGATTTTGCTAATTTCATACCTGTTATGGTTATATGTGTATTGTTATCTGTGATTGTATTATAATAACCAGGGTTCGCAAAAATATGATATCTATAATAAATGCCAATATCTGGAAATTGATATTTGTCCGTTATATCATGCATATTATCCAAAAGAGAGAGAGAAAAGCTGTGTATTTAAGCGGTTCTCTTTCAATATTTTGAATCAAAAGTGTAAAATCAAGATTGAGTTTGATTTATTTCATGTTTGTTTATTTATTATAAAATAATTGAAAAGTATTATACATACAAGGAATCCCAGTAACGTGAAATTTCTAGTAAACAAAATTGCTACTGCGGAATAAATTGAGACTCAATACCCAATAAATAATAAATTAATACAATAAATATCAATTGGTATACTATATATCGGCGAACCCTGGTTGTATGACTGTACGGTATCGCGTGTCCGTGTGCGCAGTCGCTGTGCCACCAGTACGGCGGGCACTCGTCGCACGTCACGTGCGTGCGCTTCCTCAGCGACGGCGCGCGCCTGCTCAGCGCCGGCGGCGCCGACACCGCGCTCATGCAGTGGGCGCTCGACTGAACGCCACACTGCACTGCACTACACTACACTGCACTGCACTACACTATCAATAGGGTAATTGACACTTTAAAAAAAACATTTTTGATAAATTATAAGCACACTGTCAATATATTTCATGGAATCTATTCTATTTTCGATGAAAATAATCATTAGTTTAAATAAAATCGCACAAAAAACGCTGCTCTATGTTATGGTGTTGATCATGTGATATTTCTGACGTCACACGCCAGTAAATATGTCAAAGCGACATAACCTATTTATCAACTATTTATTTACGAAGTAAACAATTATTATAGAAGAGAAATTGAAGTTAAATTTTATTTTATATATTTGTATCTACTCTGGTTTTGTTTATAAAAATGAGCTACAAATTGTATGTATATACAAATTTTTTTACGTAACAGCTTCCTGTTGACGTGAGAACCTATTATTGGTTGCGACGACAACCAATTACATGGAGTTTTCGTTGAATTCTAAAATTATTGCATTTTCTTTACGTTATTTTACTAAAGCTTAACATATTTGTCTGCAGATTTTCAGAAATAAACTTTATTAGATTATTATCTAACAGAATGACCACAACATGCAAGTTATTTTCTAATCAGTGTCAAATACCCTATACTACACTACCACTTCACTGTCTATTCGTAATTTAAAGGGCCTGTGCAGTTGCTTATAGAACTATTATCCGTGCAACCTTAAACTTCTATTGTGACTCGCCGCCAGAAATAAAATAGCACTTTCACCATATTAGTCACCTATTCACTCAGCGACGTAGCTCCCGCCTTATCGACGATATGGAGCCCCGGGCTGCAGATGCCCCTAATGTGTTTAAGCAAAAATTTACTTTATTAATTAGGGCCCCTCGACTGATTTTGATACAAGCCCCCTCCGAGGCACGCTACGTCACTACTCATTCCATAGCAAGAAAACTAAATAAAATGTGAAAATCAACAAAAACAATCTATAGCCTTCCTAATAAGCATTATTTTGACGTCATTTTAATGTAACTTTCAAAATACAGAACAATTTTTATCTTCTTATTAGTACGGCTATCAGCGTTTATTTTATAAGAAAACTTTTTCTTTTACAAAGATAGTAGTTTATTAGAAATAGACAAAAACAAAACAGTTTTTCTACTTAATTTCCTGAATATCGCATTTTATTACTTGAGTTTTCAATGTATGGGGACATTTTCTGACCATAGGTGACGCAAGTGTTTCCTTTTACAATGTTTCGCGCTTGTAACGTTATATTATTATTCTATGGATTTTCCATTTAAAAAGTTTTGATAATTTTTGTCTCATTATAAAAAAAAATCTGTCAGAATCATGGTTTGAAAAAAAAACGTTACGCTATATTCATACTTCAATAAATTAATAATATTACGTTTCAAGCATAAAACATGTATCTTCAAATAAACTGGTATTCTTCATTAATTACAGAACAAAAACACTCCTGTAACATATAAAGATCCTAAACATTTAGTAATTTATAATAAAACTCCCTCATAACCATTCAAAGGAAAAAGTAATGTTTCTCATTAGATTAATTATTTCTATTTAATAAATTTAAAATGAATGTGGATCAAATCTGTAAGTTATTGTTATGCACATATATTTGCACATTTTTAATGATATTACCTGTCAATTGGTAAATTAAGAATTTTTGTATTTTTAAATAGTATCTAAATTTGTACACTTGAGCTAACTCGAAGTATTTATGTACAGATTGTGTACAAAAGAAGTATAACCTTCGAACGAAGGTTTAATTTTTAAATGTTAAAGTTAAAATACAGTGAAATTTAGGCAGCTGTATGTTTGGAAGCTTTTTAGATAATTGCCGAACATTTTACTTGCCTCGTTCGAAGATTATGTTTACTAACTGGCAAGTATGTACGGCACCTGAATTCAGATGTGCGTAGCATTTCTGGAGTATTATTAATTAGCGTGATATTTAAGTGAACTTAAGCATTCCGAAACGATCAGAATCTGAATTTTACGTAGAGGTTGTGAAAACGGTCTAGATATTATACATATATTCAATTCAAGTGATTAAAACTATTTAGAGTTTGATTAGTGAATAGATAGATGTTTTATAAGGAGTTGGAGTCATTAAAAATAGCATTAATGGCAACACTAATTATGTTGAATTTCATAATTGCAACACTGCGAATATTTAATTTATTTAACACGTGAACTACATAAAATTAACATAAATTTCAATATTATTTTAAGCATAATAATTGAGCACTTTTATAATTATAATTAGAAGATCAACTTTTACAAATTAGGATTTTAAGTTTGCGGTTTATGACCATATTTTGCGAAGTACAAAATCTCATATACATTTTTATGTTAATTGAAAAGTACGAAGAATATCTTTGTAACGGAGCTGTACACAATGTCTAGAATAACATTATTATTAAGAATATTCTCATAAACCACGTTTTGTTTTCTTGTAAATCATTAGTTGTAGTTACACATTAGTTTCATGTTTGTTTATAACCTAGTCACCGTTTTAAGATTCATTTTCATTACGTTATTATTAAGGACCCATTTCGCGCTAATATGGTAGAATGCATTGTAAATATAATAAAGTATGATGGCGTGATCCGTCTTTTTAAATGTGCCTCTATTAAAAAATGTTTTACGAATATACATGTTTTATTTTGCTCTCGAACAATAATTTCCTATTGGCGATCTTTATTTCTTTGCACCTGATGGGCCTTATCCTTCCCAGAGGGTTCTCGCAGCGGGTTTCACCAGGTAGGCTGGCCTCGCTTAAGCCTGTCCTTTTCAGGACGGGAGAGCCCTGGTTAAAGGCTGAAGGTTAGGTACATTTCCTTTGCATTAAAAAAATCTTTGGTTTCTATAGTGAAATAATTTGAAAATGAGTACCTATTGTGGACAGCATAAAGAGTCCTTAAACTTTTTTAACCTGTATAAGTACTGTGTCTTTGTATGACCTAAATAATTTGTTATAAACTCGCGAGGCTACATGTGTGAAGTGACTCTAACCAAATGCATAGTAGGAAGTGAATGGAAAAATGCATAAAGCTATGGTTATAAGTAAAATAAAATCCAGCTGAGTGTTTACATGGGCTGGGAATAATGATAATGAAAAATATAAATATAAAGACAAACCAGAGAAACGCACCAGTACGGATTGAGCTGTTTCTCAAAATATACCGATTGGGCCATGACCCTATGGACTTAGAGAAATCCCATCCGGCCAGTAGGCATCGAAAGAACGGCGTTAATCCCCGAAATTCCCGATTTCCCCGAATCCCCGATTATAGAAAAACACATTGTTTCTGTAAGTCGGGGATTCCCGAGAAATTAAACCGATTGAACACTACGTTCCATTCCAATGCTGCCAACTTAACAATCTACCTAAATTTAGGGAAATTTACAAGTAAGTAGGCCGGGTCGGCGAAAAAAGACAACTGATTTGTAGTAAGTAGCAGTAACTGATTGTAATTGAATTGCAGTTCGAGGGCGCCGAAGAAATTTCGCCCAGGGCGCTAGTAGTGCTAAAACCGGCACTGAGAACGGTCTATATTACTTCTCAAACATAAAGATAGATAGACTTCTAAATATGTAGTCAATATATGGGCGCGTGATAAAGATCTTGTAGAAATCCTCAAGAAAAAAGTGGTGAACCGGAAAAGCGTTTTTAGAACGTCCTCTAAATCTACATCAACAACACTTTATATAATGTAATAATTACAAAATATTCAAATCTCTCGACGTTTGTATACTTCAAAACTTCGTTCAGACGGAATCTGATAAGAATATCACTCGCTAGTGATATGCACCGCTATGCAGCGTATAAAATTGTTGTGAATCAAACCTCATTTCACGTGATAAATAATAATAATTTTCAAATTTTATTAACTATGTCGTATATGCTGTTGTTTTTCTGATTCAATAAAATGTCTTCGTTGATAAACACCTAGTCTTTTATTTGGTAAAGCATAGTTCCTGCAAGAAATAAAGCGGAAGACCTGCATGAACGTGGTGTATACCACAGGAATAGTTTAAATGAGCCACTAAATGTCCTCCAGTATCTGTCAGATACTCGAGTCTGTGCGCGCGTGCGAAACGCAGTTTTCGTCCAATCCGGCCCAGTCAGTCGTCTGAACGAACCTTAATGCGTTTCTGGTAGTGTTCAAAATTGGTTGCAGAAATTTGACTTTATTGTAACCCGAATGTGCTACTGTGTGTACATTATAAATAATACAACAGTTTATATGATGACCACTGGTATAAATAATATTTATTTTTTTGGTATCGACAGACCACAGATCTCATGTAGATGCCGATAACAAAATCCATAGAATATAACGGCACATTAAAACAAATACTTTTATTAAATAAATGGCTATAAAATAAAACTAATATTATATAAAAAAACAAATTGTAACTCAAAATATCAAGTTTCTCGCAAAATCCTGAAACGGTATCAAAAATTCATTGTTTATGTTAATATTAAGCTAATAGTTGGGATTGGTATAATTAAGACAGTAGTTTACAAACCAATATAATCAATTCAGCTTAAATAAGTACTATTTATTAACAATGCTTGCCACTCCAGAGTTTCGCGAGTACTAAAAGATAAAATAACAAATTCCTACACGTTTATTGCACAAAGCAATAATTGAAACTAAAACATATTTCTACAACAGAATAGTTCGTTCGAGCGATCGTGATGCATTCCACAGAGAAATTTCTCACAGTTCGTTTATCAATTTTAAAAATTCTGTGCAAATCATATTAAGTTAAACGCATCACAGCTTGCCGAGTCATCAGTAGGGCGGCAGTCAGGGCAGCAGAGCAATACTTCAGACAAGTTTCTCTTGATATTTGAACTACTATTTCCATAACTAACAATATTTCATCAATATTTGGTTCAGTTAATGAACTTGTCATTTGAGTTCATTAACTTTCTATATTAAAATCAGTTAACATATATCGAATTCAACATTCAAACAACTGTCTCGTACAACGTCTCGTAAGCTCCACTAATCAGGTATACTAAAACAATAACTAAATTGTCAACAATTTAATCTACACATATGTACACTACCAGTTCTATATCAACTGTTCAACACTATTTGCGGATAGTTCGAGTAATCTCCAGGCAGCTTTAGGATTGATCTCCTGAGGATCTCTGCAGAGCACCCACACATAGTTGACCCTCATCACTTTATCAGGGTCACCTTCTACTACGTTGTTCTTCGCGTCTCTAACGCACATGATCTGTTGAGACTGGAATGTTATGACTAGAACGGGTCCCTGGTCCATCATTTTGCCCATCACTAACTCGATCTGCTCGATGTCCAAGATCTTCGAGTCGAGTCTGTATCCTAATTGTTTGCACTGTTTGATCGGAGTAGCTATTATGTTGAACACTCCTTCGTAGCACCAGTCTTTCAGTATGTCCAGGTCTCCACGAACCATGGCCTCGAGGATGTTCGGTATGATGTCAGATGAACAGTCTTGCAGAAATTGCTGAGCGGTGAAGGTCGGTTCTATCTTGCAGATCTCAGTGAGCGTTTTTGATAATTCGGTGTTTTCGAACATGTTGCCGAACAGGCTGCCCATTTTCTCGGTGACGAAACGCGACGCTCTCACTAAGGGATTGTCAGACTCTTCATACTTAAGTTTCCAATCTAAAACCTGTTAAAAAAAACAATTAACTTGAAAAACAACTGTGACCGACTGACAGTACACAATGTAATTTACCAAAACGTGTACTAAACCAGCTCTTTTTTATAAAAAAAAATAACCACCTTCAAAAATATCGTAATAAAGAGAAACTACTGAAAAGAGAGAAATAATACCAAAAAAAACATCTTATATAAAATCGAAACACAAGAAGTGGACATATCAACATTTTTTGAGGTCGGTAACAGACATTTGTAAAATAAAAATCATGTATGATAATTGGTGACACATTTTCTGATGAAACTTCTTACAAATGACACGTTGCAATTATTCTTTGTTTAATTGCTTAACTTTCAACTTAGGGTACACTACAAGTTTCATCAAAATCGGTTCAGTAGTTTTGAAGATATAAACTATTAAAATTTAAGTTATTTCTAAAAGGAGTAAACATTTATTAGAATTATAACAGGAGTTAAAATTGATGACCTTCTCCTTAACCAATTTCAAAAAAAGGAGGTCACAGTACCTGCTTAAGTACGTCATTAATCGAATATTTATTAACTATTACTAACTAATATTTATTAGACTTATGGAACAGTAAGAGAAAACTTTCTAAATGACTTATGAAACGAACTGTTACTAGAATAGAAGGTTAAAAAAGAATTGCTTCAAGAAAATGGGTTGGTTAGATTGGATTAGAATGTTAGCAGCATCACAGAAAATGTTTATCTGGTAAATATAAGTATGTTTAAATACAGACAAAGGGTAAAATAGTATAGGGTTAATTTAATATAAGTGTAATATGGATCGGTGACAACTACTATTCTATTATATTAAAAAAAGGGGAAAGAAATAAGAAATAATTAAAAAATATTCAGACTTCAAAAAACATAATAATGAGAAACAACTGAAAACAGAAAAAATACTGTAAATTTTCATTTTCCAAATTTTTTTTAACACAAATTGTCGGTACACCAACAATTCTTTTTTTTAAGCCAGTACCAGATATTTATAAATTATCATGTATGGTAAGAGAAAATAAATTTTCTGTTAGTGCTGTTTTACTTCTCACTAATGACACGACTGGCAACTTCCTGAAAAATGTTTTGATTTTTTGTAAAAATAAAATATGTTTAGTATTATTTATCTCTTTTCAATCGTTTCTCTTTATTACGGTTTGTTATTGCAGGTCCGGGTACAATAATATTTCTAGTTTAGCTTATTTTATTGTCTAGAAGGAAATATATATATTTGCAAATTATTCTTTAATCTGTTTAATTTGATAAAAACGAGATTTTATAGGACGAGCTGTTCAAACATTAATCACGTGCGGGAGGTGAGTGGAGCGAGAGTGCGGGGCGGTCACCTTGTTGATGTACTGGTTGTTGTTCTTGAAGTCCTCCCACTGCTGGTGGAACTTGGAGTCGCGGTGCAGCTCCAGGCCCGTGGCCTCCGCGTCCGGCGCCACGCTGCGCTCGTCCAGCGCCACCTGCACACAAGGGACCAGAGTTGGGTTTCATCGGGCAGCCCGGCCCCGTTACCTGCTCTATTCAGGGCGGGGTGGTCGGGAAGCCCTAATTCGACGCTGAATGTTGCATTTCCTCTGCGTTATCAAAAAAAGGCCCGGAAAGAAAATCCGGAAATCCTGGATCGTTGAATACTTCAGATTAATAATGTCCATCGATCAGCCCGGATGAGTGTGGCGAAGACGGAATCCGGTATTTACAACTTACAAATGTTAAAACAAAACTGATTATAAACTTTAACCACACATTCGGTAATGGATGATGACGTTTTCATACTACAATCGGTAGGTGTGATCTGCGCAAACGAGGGTTCGTTTATTGGTTAGATTTTACTGTAGTTGAAACCTAACATCTCATCACCTACGATTTTCTGTGTAAACTTTGTATGAAACTTACCTCAACTCGTTTTCGTAGGATCATAGGGGAGACGTACACTCGGCCCTCTAACCCCTTCGGCGCTATTTCATTCTTCACCACTTCTGTCGCCTGCAATGTTCATTACAAGATTCAGTATACAACGTACACTACTCAACCGACAGGCGTCGAGTAAAGAGGATAAGAGTTATCCATTTAAGTATTACGTAAGACGATTTAGCCTAACCACAAACCTTAGTTTTCCATGTCCTATTTCAAGATCAACAATTCCAATTAAGAAACCCAAACGCGAGCATATCATAAGAATGTCAGGTTTTGTTTTAATGAGGAAGTATTCTAAGAAAATAAACAGCGCCACACTAGATGGCGACACTAACAACAGTTGATTTTTGCAGGAAACGAATGGACCAAAGATAGTCATTTACGTTCCTTTTAACTAACATATTAAAAAACTCGAGACTTATGTATATAAATACAATGTTGTTGTGAGTTGTTTAGAGTTTTGAAAATTAATTTACTTTTATATATGAAAGAAAACCGGAAAGGTTGTCATGGAGAAAACAAGAATGTACCGTGGCGACATCTAGTTTGATTTCGGGAACTAATGTTGTTTTTTTTTAAATTCTTCCTCATTGAAAACGAAAAGAACGTATGCGTTTCGCTGTACACAAACAGTGCTATTAATAAACACGGTTTATCGTTGGAGTAAATTCATATTATTAAACAGAGACTTAACGAAGGTTAACCTAATACGAGGTTCTACGGGGGTAATATTTGCTCCTATAAAGGTTTGCTTATTCTCTGTATAATATGAATTTGGATTAATACGAGGGTCAAACTGAAAGTTCTTAGATCTGGCCACTTATAAACAATATAATAAAAAAATAATTCTAAAATTTGAAAATATAACTCTTTCCCAATATTACTGAGTATATATTTCATTCATTTGTCATTTGTTTTACGATTTGGCGGCAAATTGAAAATTGTCTGTGTCACGTCATCATGAATTTAACACGAGAAAATTTTCGTGCAATGATTTTTTATGACTTTCGATGTCATTTAAGTCAACAAGAAAGTTATGATAGACTACGATTGGCCTTTCACGATGAAGCCCCATCTCGTGCGACTGTTTACAACTGGTTTAATGAGTTTAAACGTGGTCGCACTAATCTCACTGATGATTTACGTGAGGGACGGCCTTCTACGGCGACGACTGAAGATAACATCTGTGTTGTGCGGCGTATGATAGAGACTGACAAAAGAGTGACCTATCAACAGATTCGGACAAGCTTAGGCATCGGTATGAGTCAAGTGCACAAAATCCTCCACGAACATTTAGCGGTCAGGAAGCTTTGCGCCCGGTGGATACCTCATAATTTGACTGAGGCTCAAAAACTCCATCGTGTGGATTGGTGTCGTAAAATGATTGAAAGATTTAACGGAGGTGACTCAAATGCTGTGTTCGACATACTAACAGGTGACGAAAGCTGGATTTACTGTTATGATCCTAAAACCAAAAGACAATCTGCTCAGTGGGTGTTTCCTTTCGAGGAGTTGCCAACTAAAGTGAAGAGAGATCGAAGTGCGGGAAAAAAAATGGTGGCCTCGTTCTTTGGAAGGATAGGTCATTTTGCAACAATTGTGTTAGAGGATCAAAAAACAGTTTCTGCAGAATGGTACACTACCAATTGTTTGCCACTTGTCTTGGAAAAAGTTCGAGAGAAACGACCTCGCAGTAGGATCCTCCTTCACCACGACAACGCCTCGTCGCACACCGCCAAGCGAACGATCGACTATTTGGCGACATCAAACGTTGAATTACTGGGTCACCCGCCGTATAGCCCCGACCTCGCGCCTTGTGATTTTTATTTATTTCCAAAAATTAAAGAAAAACTTAAAGGAAAGCGGTTTATGAATGCTGAAGAAGCGGTGGCTGCGTATCGCGATGCCATTGAAGAGACCCCTAAGGACGAGTGGGCAAAGTGCTTTTCCCAGTGGTTCCATCGCATGCAGCGGTGTATTGACGTGAATGGACAATATTTTGAAAAGATATAATAAAACTAATAACTGGCTAATGTAATCAGTTTTTGATTTTCTAAGAACTTTCAGTTTGACCCTCGTACTAAAATTGCAACTTTACTGTAAATGTACTGTTACGCTAAACTTTATTTATCAAAAAAAAAATCTTTTTTATTTTTCCACAAAAATATCACTGAAAGTGTTTGTTACTTTTCAATGCAGTTGCTCATAAAGCGCTATTTTTTTAATCCATTGTATAAACATCGAAAGTGAGTCAACGTGTTAAATATAAATATTCTGAAATCCTTTACTGCACACGTGCGTAAAAGTATTTTTTTAACCAAAGAAATTAAAAAAAAATGATGAAAATATGTCAAACTTTAGAGGCAAAAGTATTTCAAGGAGCCTAGAACGAATATTTTCAAATAAAAATGTATGACCCGAAAGCATGTTCAAATATCACGTTTAATTTTAACAAATAATTTTTACCTTTAATACATACTTAGTTTTATTAACCTATATATTTGTTTTATTTCCTCGCAAAAAGCATTGAAAAATGTTGTAAGAAACTTGAGCGTAAAAGGTTTTTCGAATTCGAACTCGCTACGCTCGTGTTTTCAATTTGGCCCTTATTCGTAAAACCTTACTTTCCGCACTCGTATCTTAAATAACTATTTCCGCTTTCTGTCAAAATTAATTCTTTAAATAAATTCTTTCCCTTTTTAGAGTGAAACAATTTGTCAAGTTCTTACGTAATCATAAAAACACGTGACGACACAATTAAACTTCGTAATATCATGCGCACTAGAGTTGCCTTAGGACAAACTCGTGATTGACCTGGTTTATCTCGAGTCTTACGATAAAGTCAAGGGGTACGATCGCCTAACCCTTTAGCCATGACAAGAATACAAGAGCTTAGCGATTTTATGGTGAAATTTCGTTTCATTTTATGGTCCGCAGATTTTACGTAAAATAAAATAAAACAAAAATTAAATAAATTATATTTAATAATATTTAGCAATTCAGCTTAATAAGTATAAATACATATAAAGCTGAATTTTCTAGCACAGCATTCCGTGGAAGCTGAATTTTTATTGAGTAGTAAGTATTGAAAACTTTCATATGAAACTACTATCAGATATATTTTTTTACAGAACTTATTAAATGAAGGAAAAACATGTTTCTATTAATTCATTTCAATTGTTCTCCGAAAACAATCATTTACGTGGAATTTCGAGCCATGACGTCACATTTCAAAAACATGAGTACTGGTTGCAGTCGCAACAAAGACGTTGCTACAGAAATTTTGAGGCTTCTGATCAAAAAATCGCGTCAAGTGGTTTTGGCACTCCTCGCGTGATGTGAACCTGACACTGACTAAAGAATTCTGAAGAGACCGAAACAGGTGGAAATCTGGAGCAAGATCAGAACTATACGACGAAGGCATTAACACCTGCCAGCCAAATTCTCTTAATTTTTGCTGAGTGGCAAAAGATGTGTGAGGTCTAGCGTTATCATGATGAAAAACTACACCCCTTCTATTGATTAATTTTGGCCGATTTCTCTCAATTTCTTGCTTTAATCACATCAGTTGTTCGCAGTAGAGTTCAGAATCGATAGTCCTACCTGGCGGCAACAGTTCATAATGAATAATGTAGTTGCAATCCCTCCATACACACATCATCACCTTGTTGCAAGTTAACCCGGATTTCGCGACAGTCCGTGAAGCCTAACCGACCTTTGACCACAACATTTTTAACACGTTCTTGTGTACGTGATCTACTTTTCATGTCGGTACACAATTCATTAGGTTTCTTTTAGTGAGCTTGTATATCCAGCTTTTTTCAAATACGCCAAAACTGTTTTGTTGTCAATACCCAGTTCCTCAGTCGTAACTACTGATATGCCGATCTTGCTTCACTTTTTCAAAAATGGCATCCATTTTATCCGTAACAGAGCGACCGGAGCGACGTGTATCTTTGACATCAAAATTCCCGAACGGAAAACGCTTAAACCAAATTTGTGCTACTCTCACATAAACTACACTATACTCCATGCATTATAGCATTAGACAGAAGTTAAATTAGGTTCTTTTTATGGTATACTTTGTGACAAAATATCAATAATCATGTTACTCTTAAGAGTAACGGCTAATTTGCTACATATCCACTTAAATACCAGCTGCTATACTTAACTGTTGTCACTTAAGCTATCTATTAAACAAATTTATGAGTATTTGACTAACTTAAATGATTTAATAACATTTACAATAAAAAGTGTTCATCATAAAGAACCTAAAGAAGCAGGGTTGGATAGTTTCGGCACGATTCTCATGTCACAATAATTCTACCAAATTTAAAACGTTGCCTTATCCTTTCAAACGTTTCGTCAGTACAACTTTTTAATTTTGTCAGACTATGATGTATTCATACGTAATCTGGGATTTTTTTCTTTCTTGTTGTTTTGCCGTTTTCCGTTATTAAGTTGTTATTGTTTTATTTCTATTTTGTTATAGTTTTGTTTTTGTTGTCAAGTAAAGTTTTGTTAAATATGGACGATGCCGGTGCAGGCCCGAGTAGACTACAACAATTACGCTTTAAGCCCCCATACCTACCCTCAACCTTTGACATTTCAGGAAGTTTTTGCAATTTCTTCATCAATAGTCTATTATCTGAGTAAATTTTATAAAGGTAATAATAAAAAAAAAAACTTTTGTTTGCCTTTTTTTCCTGGGCATGGATATAACTAAATTCTATTCTAATTATATACACTTACTTACTTAAAATGCTGGTCTCATCTCAGCCCCGAGGTATCATAAAAAATGGAAAATTGTCCAGCTCTTTCAGACTACAGAAACGTTCAAAGTTTCAACAAAACTATATTTATTTTTTAAATTTATCTTGAAAATAAAATGTTCTGCACTGCTGCTTCTATGACCCTCTTTTTTCTAATGTTATAATGAATGGAGTATAGGTCCATAAACGTCACAATTTTTTTCGCGTCTTTTTTACATTGTTGTCATTTTTACCTTTCTTGTAATGAATTTTTTAAACATATCGAATTTCTTCATTGAATCTAACAATCTCATCAAACTGTCAAACAGCAAGAAAAACAAATGAAAATCACACAGGTTCCGATTTGAATTTGGATTTGTATCTTCTTTAAAACTTCAATGATACCAAAACCAACCAGATACAAATGGGATATTTTATTACAAGTTTATTCATACTATATGCAAAAAAAAACTTTTCCAAACCAAATATATTAATAAATTTCCAAAATATTTCATAATTTATTATTCTAACTTCAGATAGCAAATGGTTAAGTATTGTTCAGGTTGGCGCGTACTCAGAATATCCACGATGCGCCGCCACCCGGTTAGTCAAGATCATACATTGACAAAGAGTACAAGATCGTAACTTATTCCATGCCAAACCCAATGTTCAAACTAAGTTAAGAGATGTTAGCGTTTCATGTAAGACAAGTAAAATTTTCAATTAAAACACTAAACCGTTGAATAATGTTATAATAGTTCACTGACTTGCGATATAGTTTTGAATGCAGAAGTCTGTCCAAGCTTTTGGCTGGTGTCTGCTATACTCTCCGCTGCATCCTTCGCACTTTTTGAAATGTCCTCTGTAATCTTGCCTGTAAATACATATTAAAGTTGGGTAACATCCATGAACACAACAATGGGTAAACGGGGATTGTTGCAGTGAAATATTGTTCAACAAAGGAGTGGGAAGGGTCCTACATTTTGTTACATCACATACCAAAATCTACTAAAACACAAAATTTACTTCAAACCTACCTTTTTGAAATGTTAAAGTTTTGTTTTGTTCTGTATATTTTCAAAATTTCTTATTGTACATATAATAAGTATTGGTGTACAAAGGCAAGTACATGGGAAAGATTTACATGTGTAACAAGGGCAGGGTTAAAAAAAAAACAATCATTTACAAGTGCAGTAAGAGCATATTTTAAAATATGAATAAAGAGTGTATGCACAAGGAAATTCAAAATAGTAATTCATGTTTTAAAAGAATTGTTTATAACATCTAAGATGACAAATTTGAAAAAAATTAAGTTACACAGTATTTAAGGGACTATGACAATTTTACTGTATTGCGAAACATGTTACATACGCCCAACATCTAACTAACCAGCTTTCCTAGCAATCTCAGTCTTGCTTGCTTCTTCCAGGACATGTCCCACCTTGCCCTTGATGCCTTCTAACGTCTCCTTGAGTACTTCAGAACTCTTGGATGCTTCTGACTCAACAGCATGAAACTTTCGTCGTGCAGCCTGCAAAAGCGTTTTTTCAGACATTTGTAGGAAAATAATCATATAGTAACCCACAAAACCCAAAATTATTCTTTAGAGCAAAATAAGTTTATATTTTTCTGATACTATATTCCTGTTTAATACTATGTACCTGCAAGGCCTCAGAGTTCTCCAATTTCTGAGCTTCCTCTCTGAACTTCTTGATATTCTCTTTCATCTCTTTATTCTTTGCAATATCTTCTTTTATATTTTCGATTATGGATGAGAAGAATCCTTTTCGTGCTGAATAGTTTCGCCATTCCTGTACTGTGATCTATATAGCAAGCACAATAGCATATCTTTTATTTAGTTGGCAATGGATGAATAAATTAAATCAATAGATCACTTTGGTTAACACTCTATGGCAATAGTATGGAAACTTTATTTAATTAGAATGTTTTTTTTTTTTCATAAATGTTATAACATCAATATACTAAGTATCATAGTGTAATGATAAGGGGAACCTATTATTGGCCAAACTTATAGTTAAGTTTGTATGTTAAATATTTATGTACTGCCGTCGGTTCTCTCAATAAATAAATAAATATTTAAAACCAATGGGTTATTACAATCTTGAAAACTGTAGCAATTCTGTTGCACAATGACAAAAATTTATTTTAATGTCAATCAATATTTTTAATTACAAAACAAATGATCAGAGAATTTTATTGTTTATCTTCTAAGTGTATACAAAGGTAAATCTAATTAAAATTATTATACAGACATTGCTAAAACTTCTTTCAAAGTAATGGTACTAAACACCTACCTGATCTGATTTCGAAGAAAAAACTGTAGGTTTTACATTGACAGGCAAGATACATTTCCAACGTGCTGGACTATAGAATAAGTGTCTACATGTATGCTGAAACGAAAAAGTTACATTTTAGCGATCACAAGGACATTTTGACATAACCTAACACGATAATGTATAGAAATTGTTCAGTTACCATTTCTGTATTAAAAGGTCTATGAATTGCACGGTCTACAGTTTTATGAAATTTTTCACTTTGTTTTTTAATAAATTCTAAGCCTACTATCCAGAACTTTTATCTACAACATTGATGAAATCATGAAATCCCATTCGTAATCCGTGCAACTATCTGTCAAAAAACTTCCAAAGAGCTTTTTTTTTTTTTTTTTTGGTTCAAATTTTCCCATTCCTACAGGGGAAGGGGAAGGCAAAGGGTGCTTAGCCCATACAGCCTTGTCATTTGTAATTATATTCATTAATATTCTTATTCAACGGCCACAGCCAAGTCTTTTTTAATAGAAATTTGTATTCTCAGTCTAAGTCAAAAGGCCGAAGCCAAGTCTTTTTAAGTTTTATGTGGTTACATCTTATTTACAAATTAACAAGCGAAATATACAAACGAAGGAAATTGAAAATAAACAAAATTAAATTGACATAGAAAAAACAACGTTAGATTTCCCCAATGGTTGAGGTTACATATTCGTAAATATATACAAAGCACTCCTTTTTCTTCAGAAGTTGCTGAAGCGAACGCGGGATGTCATCAGCTTTTTTATATATACACAGAAGACTGTCTATAAGAATTATACGTTGGAGACTAAAAGAACGACAACTGAAAATTAAATGATCAAGAGTTTGTTCAGCAAGGTTGCAAAATTCACATGTTGATGAAGATAAGACTCCAAGGCGAAACAAGTGGGCACCAAAACGACAATGACCTAAGCGTAATCGGCAAATAGTGGTGTAGAATTTTCTGTTTCGAAAGATTCCTCCATAGAACCATGGAGGAGAAATCTTGGTTTTAATCTCTGCCAACCACTTTCCTTTGTTTTGAACAATTTGTTGCCATTCGTCATAAAATTCCTTGACAGCTGAGGATTTAACATGAGATAAAGCATCAGAAGCAGGAATTGGAAAATTTAAAATTGGGACACTTTCATAATGATCAACAATTGATTTAGCCAGGTAATCTGCTTGTTCATTTCCAAACACACCTATGTGAGACGGAGTCCAGAAAAAAGTGATTTCTTTAGAATGAGACAAAGAAGAATATTGCTTACGAATGTTGTGAGTTATGTAACTAGTTTTTGAAATACACTTAGGGTTTTGAAGTGATTTTAATATACTCATGCAGTCTGTAATTATTAACCATTTCTTTCCCTGCTGACTTGCAATATATTCCAGAGCAAATAAAATAGCAAGAGATTCTGCTGTGTAAATGCTAGCCATATCATTTAACCTATGTCCAAACCCACTTCGAGTTTGTTTATTATACACAGAAAAGGATACAGCATTATTGTTTTTAGAGCCATCTGTGTATAAATGATTGTAATCCCTCCACTTATCTAACTGTCTATATACATCTTGTTTACATTTTTGTTCATTTATAACTATACTAACTTTACAAAATTTTGAATTGTAATTTCCTAAATAGCAAGGCCAAATAATACTAGAAAACAAATTATTATCATGAAAAAACTGTACATTTTCAGTAAAACCCTGGATTAATGAGGTTGAACCGACATCAGCTTTGCTGGCAGCATGTCTTAGCTTAGAAACAAGAGGGTGATCACTGATTGAAAAAATACTGAGAAAGAATTTTGCTTGAAGATATTTGAACCTTAGTGATAAAGGAGGTATGTTGCATTCTACCTGTAAAGAGATGATTGGTGTTGATCTCATGGCACCTGTAATGATCCTTAAACATTTATTTTGAGTTTTTTCTAATTTCTCTACCAAATTAGTTGCCTGTTTATAACATAGAAAACCATATTCAAAATGACTCCTAACCAAAGACTTGTACAGAACTAACAGTGTAGCTGGATCAGCACCCCAATATACTCCAGCTAAAGATTTTAAAATATTGCAAGCTTTGAGAGCTCTGTTTGCTAAATAATCAACATACCTGTTCCATTTAAAATTGCTACAAAATGTAACACCTAAGAATTTAACTGTATTATCTATAGGCATTGTTTCATTGTTATAGTATATTTTAATTGAATTAGGTTTTACAGCTTTTTTTGAAAATATGACTACCTTACTTTTTTCATTGTTCACATCTAGATTGAGATTTTGAAAATATTTTTGTAGGCTTTTTAGGGCAGTATTAAGTTTATTTTGGATATCCAGCTTATTCAAACCTGAACAATAGACTACCAAGTCATCAGCGAATTGTAGGTTAGAAACATTATTACCTAAAACAATATTTAATTGATGGATGTATAAAATAAACAACAAGGGACTTAATATCCCACCTTGAGACACTCCTTTATAGGAATATCTTGGACCAATTAACTGTTTATTGATTTTCACAAATATCTTACGGCCATTTAAAAATTTGTAAATCCAATTTACTATTTTTGCAGGTATATTTAATGATAACAAAACTGAATATAAAACACCTAAATCAACATTATTAAAAGCCCCTACAATATCGAAGAAGACACATGCCATAATTTTATTCTGAGACAGAGTATCATGGATGTCCAGACACAAATGGCTTAGACTCTCCCGAGCAGAACGGCCACATCGGAAGCCAAATTGGTTAGATGGTAAGATATAATTGTTTTCTATATGGAATGTCAGTCTTTGTTTTATTAACTGCTCAAAAATTTTACCTACACAAGAGCTGAGTGTGACAGGGCGATATGAGTGAGCAGAATTAGAATCCTTCCCTTTTTTTAATATTGGAACCAAACAATCTGTCTTCCATTCTTCTGGTATAATAGACAGAGACCAAAACAAGTTTAAAATATTTAAAAAAATTTCGAGACTGGTATCATTCAACAGTTTGAACATTTTATATGACAACCAATCTAATCCACAAGCAGTTTCCTTCCTAGAATTTAAAGCAGATTTTAATTCTTGAAGTGAAAATGGTTCTATCATGTAAGAGTTAGTATTATTAACTTGGGTGTCTGGCAGAAGATTGCTATCATTTTGGACAGTATCTGGTGTATATTTGTATAAAAAATCAGAACTCCATTCATAATTGGAAAACAATGTGGTATTAGAGGTAGAACCTTTTAATTTTCTCATTTGAGTCCACACTTGACTCATCGGTGTTAATCTATTAACAGAGGTACAAAATTCAAGCCAAGACTGACAGCGCTCCTGACGTAAAGTGCGTTTTTTTAGGGCTTGCGCCTTTTTGAAGTTAATATAGTTACATAAAGAAGGACTAGATTTAAACAGTATATAAGCCTTTTTGCAATTTTGAACCACTTTAGCACAATTATCATTCCACCAAGGAAGTGTTCTTTTTTTAAACCCTGACAAGTGACCCACCTTATTATGTTTACTATTATTTATACTAGTTATTGAGTCCTGAGCTACTTTATTAATAATTGAACAGAAATTATTATATGATTCCAATATGTTTGAGTTATTGATTTGGAAATTTATCAAGTTATCATTTATGTATTTTTTATATAAATTCCAATTTACTAGTTTCAGATTAATATGTGGAGGAATGTTCGAAGACTCAACAAAGGACACACCATCACTAATGTCAAGAGAATATTTTGTTATAGTCGGCAGATGATAACTGCCTAAGGAATCATTATGTATTGACCACTCACAAGACAAAACTAAGCACGAAGAGACCATAGTGAGATCTAGGCCGTTGGGCCTCCAGATGTGAGAACCTACTGTTGTTGGCATCCCGTTGTTTAAGAGTACTAAACCATTCTCATCCAAGGAATCCATGATGTCTCTGCCTCGAGAATCAGTACTAGAACAACCCCAGAAAGTATGATGAGCATTAAAGTCACCAGCTATAATCAACGGCTTTGGAACACTATGCAAGAGAGAATCAAATTTGTGTTTTGAAAAATTAGCACTACCAGGACTGTAAAAACTTATAATCGAAATAAATTTATTTTTTATTTTTATTTTGATTGAAATATTTTGCAAAGTATCATCATAGAAAGTTTGTAGCTGTTGAAAATTTATACCATTTTTAATGACGATGGCTACGCCATTGTGATCATTTCCACAATCATTTCTGATTATGTTATATCCGCGTATTTCAATTTTTATATTGGGTTTGAGCCAAGTTTCCGATATTAGAGCTATGTGTATATTATTATCATAAAGAAACTTTTGGAACTCAAGTTTATTATTTAGCAAACTTTGTGCATTCCACTGTACAATATTAACACAATTCAGGAATGTGGAGGGGAATTATTTTTATTTAATAGAGTTTCTTTTATTGCACTACTTATTGATTGAGAACTAATACTAGCATTTTCTGTTTTGTTCAATGTGATTACTTTGACAATTGCTTCAGTGATGAGATTTAATGCAGAACTATTTTTTAAAACTAATTCCATTATGTCATGAGTATTTTCTGTTTTATTTAAAGATGGAAAATTATTTGATTTTAATGCATCTGAGTATTTATTTACAGTTTTGTTTTTATTTTCATAAATTTTCTTTAATTTGATTGGGCACTGTCCTGATATCGCTAAATGGTTACCCTTACAATGTATACATATTGCTTTATCTACTGGAACTGTACATTCCTTAAAAGAGTGACCCTCTGTACAAATAGAGCATCTTTGAGCATTTTTACAGAATTTTGCTAGGTGATCATATTTAAGACAACGAAAACATTGCTTTACTGGAGGGATGTATGGAATTACTGGAAGGCGCCACATTTTAATATGTACATAATCTGGTAGGCATGTTGCCGCAAATGTTATTACAACAGTTTGAGTGGGTTGTAATTCGAAACTGTTACTGCTAGTTTTATTTTTACGCATTATACGTCTGACACAAATAATTTTCTTTGAGCTGGACAATGCTTTATAAATTTTTTTATTGGACATATCTATGGGTACGGATGTAATAACTCCAGATAATTCGGTACATCCTGCAGGAATTGAAGCTTTGATGGACTGTTCCCTCAAAAATGTGGAATTATCCATAAATGCATTTGCTAAATTTGGTCGATCAAAAACTACGCCAATTTTAAAACGATTGATTTTTTTTAAGTATTTTATGCCCTTTACAAATCTAGATAGACAACCACTCAGGTACATCATGTCCCTGCTACCGAGAGGCTGTTCAATAGAACTTTCAATAAAGACTACAAATTCGAAACCAGTCGCAGCATCTTCAGGATACCTTCT